GGGCGTGGCCTAGAGCGGAGCCAGTCCACGCTAAGGGACATAAAAGGGAAGCCCCGAGGCTGAATCGGGGCTGTCGACAGGTGGAATGGAACCCGAGGTGCTATGTCTTCGTCTCTGGCGTCATGGGTCAGACAGCATGTTGGCTGCTCTGACCCTTAAATAGTTATCACGTGTGTGAACAGTGTGCAAGATATAGTGTAGAATAAACGTTGTTGCCTCCTAAAATAGCGTCTCAGAAATGACTCACTACAGTAGTGTAGTGGTATAGTAGGTTAGTGGTATAGTAGTATAGTGTGGTATTGTAGTGTAGTGGTATAGTAGGTTAGTGGTATAGTAGTGTAGAGGAGTAAAATGGGGACGTGACGTGATGTGTGCCGTTCAGTGCAATGACGTCACGTCTACTAGAGTAGTTAAGGGAGACCCCGTGATGAAAGCGGGGGTCACTGTGGGAACGGGTAGAGTACGAAGGGTGGAGAGGGAACCAGGGGTAGAGAAGGATCGAGTAGTGAGTCTGGGGAGAAGCCGGTGGTAGCCGATAGAGGTGCTCTCTCTCCGGTCGGTGGAGTCGGCAGAGTCCCCGATCCGACCCGAGAGAGACCAGGGCTAGCCGGGCAGGGACCAGGACTCAGTGTAGGACCCCGAGCCCCTGGGAGTTGTGTACCCTTGTGTGTATTGTGAAGTCTTTAATAAACCCTTGGCGAAAGCCCATAACTTACCTCCGTCTCCGAGTGCGTCCGTGGGAACTTCTCTACAGTAGTATAGTGTGGTATAGTAGTGTAGTAGTATAGTAGTATACTAGTGTAGTAAGTATATATGGAGGCTTGACGACAGGATCGGAGGCACACTTATTTATTACACCAACACAGTTATTACAGGTCACTTGGCTACAGGGATTTCTCGACAGCTAACCCCTCTAGCCTATACCAACTCCTCCACTACGGGACTAGGGGAGGCTATCTGTCCCAGCTTGGTTAAGCTGGGATCCCGGCTCCCTGAGTCACCAGACCAGCTTCGTCTGGGCTCTCGGGGCCACGCCACCGGCTTGCCCTGGTCGGCCCTTAGAAGGACAGCGAGCCAGGGGAGCTCCGGGGCCTATACTAGCAGGTCTTCGTTCTTCTCTGGTTAAAGCTGAGTCCCGACCTCGAGCCCTCGAGCTCATCACCTTTTATAGGACTCGCCCCCGAGGGGGGGCCCGTGGGGGATACACATGCGGACGTCGGTGCGAGCGCCACCCTTGTGTACGGCCGTAACCCCGCCCCTTGTGTTTGTTGGCCATCCGTGGCCATGCATAATCACACCTCAACATTCGTAGCCATGCGCAATTACACCTCTACACTAGTGTAGTAGTGTAGTAGTAGTATAGTAGTGTACTACATTAGTGTGATGGGACTTTGTAGGATGAACGTTGAGATTTATGAGGGGCACGGGGTGACCTATAAGGTCTGAATTGGTCTGTGATAAAGTTTACAGCTATGCGCTACATTTGTAATGACATCCGACACATGTGGTTTCTTCTCCGTTACTTAGAGACGTAGTTAGAAATAAAATAAAACAAATCACGGCGTTTCGATCGCAACACAAGCGGTCGTCCTCAGGCAAGGGGATTCTTATTTTTTTCCGCCTGAGGACGACCGCTTGTGTTGCGATCGAAACGTCGTGATTTGTTTTATTTGATTTGATTTCTAACTACGTGACTTTACCGAAAGAACCAAAGAGTATGGATTCCTGCAGTCACGAAAGCTTAAAATCAAGATTAATTACTAAGAGCCCTGTACTTCGCTGCTTGACACACGAACTTTTCTCCAAGTGTCACCTTCCCCTCATGCTATCCCCACTCATAACATACCTCGAGTCCCCTACCCGCCCCTTTTCTGGAAGGTTCCGCTCACCCCCATTTCCCTCCGCCAAATCCTCGTCCTCCTTCTCCAATGCCCCCCCCCCCCCCCCCCATGACACTCAATCCTCATTCCACCGCCTTTTACATTTCAATTTCCCCTCCGCCAATAATTTACATTCCCTGTCCTTAGCCAGCGCACCATGTCAGGTAAGTAGTCTCTGTTTTTTCGGTCTGTACATTCTATGTAGATACAGACCTTAATATGTCTGCCTCAACAAACCTCTGGGGTACTTCCTGACAAGGTAGAAAGCTGAAATGTGGTGCACAGGTAGCTTTTAATAAGAATCATATTCTTCAATAATAATACTCTTCTATCTCTATAAATAAAGACCTTATTCTGTATGTCTCAAAACCCTCTAGGGGAAACTTCCCAAAAAGGTAGAAAGCTGACATTTTGAACCAAGGTAGCTTTAAGGACGCAAACAACAGGGAGATAAATATATCTATATATATAAAATCGTTCATGTCTGTGTGTCTGTGTGTGTGTATTTCGGCCCATACGCACTTTCATTGGACGGCGGTTGCCCCTGGCAACGGCTAGCCACGCCTTCGCCGCTTTCATTGGACGGCGGTTGCCCCTGGCAACGAGTAGCAACTTTTCTCCGCGGGGTGGACGCCATTTTTAATAGCGCGGCGGGGGGGGGGGGGACCGGCACCCGTACCCAGCGTTCGCCGGGTGGGAAAATCAGGCAAGGCGGGAGGCTCTGCACGGTGCTAGGCCTCGACACCCAACACGCCACTCTGAGGTAAATTCATACAAATTTCACGTCCTCTACAGAGTGGCGAGGGAGGCAGAGTGGCGAGGGAGGGACTCAGCCTCAAAACGAGTAACTGGTGTGGCGTATTAACATCGCCACTGGGGAGACAAAGGCGGCCGGGCGTGGTGGATACAAGTCCCGGGCAAAGCCGGGTCATGACTATGTGTGTATGTGTTTATGTGTATGTCTGTGTGTCTGTATGTATGTGTGTATGTATGTGTCTGTATGTGTTTGTGTGTATGTATGTGTGTGTCTGTATGTATGTGTGTGTGTATTGTGTATGTGTTTGTGTGTATGTATGCGTGTGTTTGTATGTATGTGTATGTCTGTGTGTATGCATGTGTGTGTATGTGTTTGTGTGTATGTGCGTGTATGTATGTGTGTGTATGTGTGTGTCTGCAGCAAGCGCGTGTATGTGTACCTATGGACGCGCGCGCGTGTGTTGTGTAGGGGGAACGGTAGTGTAGTGCTTAGCGTGCTGCCTGTGTCTATGTGTGTGTGTCTGTGTGTGTGTCTGTGTGTGTGTGTCTGTGTGTGTGTCTGTGTGTGCGTGTGTGGTGTGTAGGAGGAACGGTAGTGTAGTGCTTAGCGTGCTGCCTGTGTGTGTGTCTGTGTGTGTGTGTCTGTGTGTGTGTGTCTGTGTGTGTGTCTCTGTGTGTGTGTGTCTGTGTGTGTGTCTGTGTGTGTGCGTGTGTGGTGTGTGGGGAGCGGTAGTGTAGTGGTTAGCGTGCTGTCTGTGTGTCTGTGTGGTTGTGTCTGTCTGTGTGTCTGTGTGTGTGTTCCTGTGTGTGTGCGTGTGTGGTGTGTGGGGAGCGGTAGTGTAGTGGTTAGCGTGCTGTCTGTGTGTCTGTCTGTGTCTGTCTGTGTGTTTCTGCGTGTGTCTGTGTGTGTGTCTGTGTGTGTGTCTGTGCGTCTGTGTGTGTGAGGAGCGGTGGGTGTAGTGGTTAACGCTACGCTGCGCTACCAACCCGGCGAACCGAGTTAGATTCCCGCTCATGGCCACCACCGGTCAAGATTATTTGAACCTCCCATAGGTCGACTCAGCCTCAAACGAGTAACTGGTGTGGCGTATTAACATCGCCACTGGGGAGACAAAGGCGGCCGGCCGTGGTGGATACAAGTCCCGGGCGAAGCCGGGTAGTACAGCTAGTATTCTATATAAATACAGACCTTGATCTGTATGTCTCAAAGCCCACTAGAGGTAACTTCCTGGCAAGATAGAAAGCTGACATTTGGCAAATAGGTAGCTGTTAGGATGCAAACAGGAGAATCATAAAATCTAAGATTTTTCATGTTAAGGCCCCCAAATCTCGATGTTAAGCGCCCCATAAACACGTGAGTGTGCGTGGTGTTATTCAGCAGAAAACATTCACAAAATAAGACTGCGGGTTTTTTTCATGAAGTCAAGCTGAGTGACTTCCTGAGTCAGGCTCAGTGAGTAACGCTGACCGAGTTAGACGGCAAATAAAATTAAAGCGAGAACCATTGGTTGTGTTCTACCTTTCATATTTTTTTTAGATATTTCAGATTCGAGCGGTTTCGAACGAAACAATACAAGCATTATATGACGTCCACATCTGAATAATTCGAAAACGGTAAAAGATAGAGCTTCCCCTCATAGAGACGAAGTTCATTCCATTTTTTTCTTAATAAGAACAAAAAAACGGAAACTTTAAATGGAGCGATTTCTGATGAGTACGATTCTAAATAGAAGTTGAATTGCGTCGTCAGCAATTTTTTGCGGGTTTTTTTTTTGGCGGAAAAATACCAAATGTTTGGATGTACAGGTAGTCCCCGAGTTACGGTGGTCTGACTTAAGATATTTCGATCTTACCATGGCGATAGCGATATGACAAAATTGCCATCAACAACCTAACATCGTTCAAGTATGCAGACGATGGACAGAATCTTGGCGAGTACAGTACAATGATACATTATGATACATTACGATACGTTCAATGCATGTATGATACGTATAGCTTTAGCGATTTCATTTTAGGGTTACCACGATACGATGATATGCATGTTAAAAGTTTTTATAGCAGATAGGATTGTTTCCTGAAAAAACTTTCTATTAAATTGCAGTTCATATCGGTAGGCTAAGAATTTACCTTGTTTTTTTACTTTACATATTACTGTGCAATACAGTATTGTAATTAATAAATACATACAGTTTATAGTTTATACAGTACGGTACTGTAAATTGCTCTGTTTTGCTAAATTATCACCATTATTTAAGACTCCTGGGTAGGCTAGGCCATCTTCGTAAGTAGAGGACTACCTGTAGTTGTTATGGTGTTTGTGTCACTGTTTGTTGCTCTCACGTTCTGACCCCGTGCCTCTAACTGGACATCTGTGAATAAAAGAGCTTAATAGCGCATCGGATTCCTCCTGCAGCCTCAATAAACGTTCTGATTCCCATTCAGCATTAAGTCTCGTTGAGCCTTCTATAGCCTCACCAGCTTCTATGGAGCTGGCCACGAGAGGGCGACGTAGAGGCGAATACAAAATGTTTGGCGTAGTTGTTCGTGATATGATCGTAGATACAAATCGCAAAGACAAAAAAATCACATCAGGTTCAGTATTATGTTTATTGAAAACGTTTGCCTGGCAAATGCAGGCTTCATGAACTGGTTTGTAGATATATATAATTTAAAGGGATTTGATTGCATGTCCCAAACTCTGCACTCCTATCGTGTTTTGGTATTAACACGCAGTAGGGCTTTCGCGACCAATATTATCCACGATCGGGGTTCTTTTTTTTTAGTTAGATCGCGTACCCGTGTGTCGTTAAACACCGCCACCCAACACGGCCAATCAGTAAGGAGTATGTGTCACGTAAAACGGTCCGCCAATTCGTAATACACCGGCGAAACGTCACAACTACTCGAATTGTAAATGTTATAGTGGGTTTGCTCTCAACACACAACCAGTTAGTGCTGTACGAGTAACGAATTGGTTCACTCTCCAACACACAACCGGTTTAGTGCTGTACTAGTAACGAATTGGTTCACTACCCCAACACACAACCAGTTAGTGCTGTACTAGTAACAAATTGGTTCACTACTCCAACACACAACCGGTTAGTGCTGTACTAGTAACGAATCGGTCACTACTCCAACACACAACCGGTTAGTGCTGTACTAGTAACGAATTGGTTCACTCTCCAACACACAACCGGTTAGTGCTGTACTAGTAACAAATTTGTTCACTCTCCAACACACAACCGATTTAGTGCTGTACTAGTAACGAATTGGTTCACTACTCCAACAACCGATTTAGTGCTGTGCTAGTAACGAATTGGCACGTTTTGTTAATGCGACACAAACCTTACTAATTGGCTGTGTCGAGTGGTGGTGGCGGCGGGTTTAATGACAAATGTATAATTACGCGATCTAACCACCCCAAAAAAAACCCGTTTCGGACACTATTAGTCGCGAAAACCTACACCTGCGTGTTAAACGACGTATTACTCTACGGTTAACGCCCTCTCCTCTGTATCCGCGAGGGTAGCATTCTTGTAATGCAAATTCGCGAATGCAGAAAACCTCATTCCAATGTGGAGAGGGTGGGGAAATGTCATTACGTTCTTGGTACGAGGCGAACATACAGCGGGGGGGAATTGTCAATGTGTAATAACAATGACCACAATACATTATAAGGAACAATGTATTATTGGGTCTTTCGGTGAAGCCACGTAGATAGATCAAATAATAAAAGTAATTTTAAAAAATACAATATCACGATGTTTCGATCGTAACACAAGCAATCATCAGCAGGTGAGAAATATCGCAGGAGAGCTGCTGAGAATATCAGCAGCTTTGATCTATCTACGTGGCATTACCGAAAGACCCAATAATATGAATTCCTGCAGTCACGAAAGCTCTAAGTCAAGATTTAAAGAACAATGTGTTCCATTTGTATTACCTTTGATGATGATTGGACGACGATGGGAGGTGGTGGAGGTGAGGATTTCGGGAGGGTGGATGACTCCGCATTGGAAGATGCGGGAGTTCGATGATTAAAACGACCGCACAGTTTAAGTTTTTTTCATTTTGAGCCAATCAAAAAAGTATATTGGTCGCATACACAGCTACGTTTCATGTTGTAGCGGGTGCAGTGAAATGCTCGAGGTATCAGCTCCGCAGCATTGCAATAGAACGTCTCACGAATAAATGATTATAATTAATCGACGAAAAATTCGAAAAGCGAATCAAGAAAAATCACGAAATATCCGAACGAACCCAAATGACAAACCAAATAACACTCTAATAATCATCCAAATAACAATGTGTGCGTGTGCACGGGATGAATGAACACTATGAATAATATCTACAACAACAGATACATTAGGGTGAGCTTTTGTCGAGTATACGGTATGTAGATACACAATGTGTCTAAGCAATATATAAATTGGAAGTGTCCACTCTGGGGAGGTAGCGATCTCCCCCGAAACACTCTCCCCGAATGCGTTCGCTCCCTTCCCGATGGACCTCGCGGTCGACCCGTTGATAATACTATTTGGTTCTTTCGGTAAAGTCACGTAGTTAGAAATAAAATAAAACAAATCACGACGTTTCGATCGCAACACAAGCGGTCGTCATCAGGCAAAACTTTTGACAAAACTTTTGCCTGATGACTAACTACGTGACTTTACCGAAAGAACCAAAGAATATGGATTCCTGCAGTCATGAAAGCTTCAAACCGTTGATAATAACCAAGAGCGTATAAAGGAGTAAGCATGAAGTGAGCAAATGCACAGCGGCGAGTCCGGAGAGGGATCACTGCGAGATGGAGGCCTGAGCGGGTGGCCGAGCGGGGTTCTACGTGCATCTTCCCGCCCCCCGCCCCCACCACTCACGACCGGTGTCGTTGGTCTGTAGGCGCTGCGTGACGCTCGCGAGCACAAGGGTATTACAGCTGCGACGTTTGGTCTTCTTCTCTTTCGCGTGGACTCAACAGCAGCAGATTGAAGATGCAGTTTTAGACTGCTGTCATTCACTCAGTCGTCCGTTCGGAAGGCAAGAGCGGATCTCGTTCCAGCCCTCCTTTTAAAAGGGTGAAGACATTCTATTCAGTGGCTCGCGAATGCGCGAGGCTCGCTAATCCAGAGCACGCGCATTTACAACATCCATGGGATCACTCTCCAGCACTCGCCGGGGTGCTGAAGTGGTAAACCGACCGGCACGTTTTGTTCACGTGACAAAACCCTGAATCAATTGGCCGTGGCGGGCGGTGTGGCGGGCCTAATGGCGCGTTTACGTCGACGCGATCTAACCCCCAAAAGTAAACCAAAACTTTGCTATGAATCACGTTCAAACGGATTGTACTTGAATTGTCTCAGTGATGGAGACACTTCATTAGGAAGTTAAGGTTCGAGCGATATGCAAAGTGTGAATTGTCTTGGTCATTGAGACACTTCACATTAAAGTTGAGATTCTAGGGATCTGGACAGTTTGAAGTGTCTCAGTGATTGAGACACTTCATGTGGAAGTTGAGATTTGAGAGATCCGCAAAGTTCCTCCCGCAGACGAAACACTTGTATGGCTTTTCCACGCTGTGTGATTTCATGTGCCGGCTGCAGGCCGACGACTTTATGAAGTCCTTGTCGCATATCGGACACCGGTGTGGCCTCTCGCCCGTGTGGATCATCGCGTGGACCTTCAGGGCCGACAGGTGTGCAAAGCCCTTCCCGCAGACGTCGCAGCAATGCGGCCTCTCTCCCGAGTGGCCCATCGCGTGGACCCTGAGGGCTGCCAGCTGGGTGAAGGCCTTCCCGCAAACGTCGCACTTGTGCGGCTTCTCGCCCCCGTGCGTCGACTCGTGGTTCCTGAGGAAGGACGGCTTTGTGAAGCCCTTGCCGCACGCGGCGCACTTGTGCGGCTTCTCGCCCGTGTGGGTCATCAGGTGGTTCTTGAGGTCCGACGACTCGACGAAGCCCTTGTCGCACACGGGGCAGCGGTGCGCCCGCTCGCCCGTGTGGATCTTCGTGTGGCTCCTGAGGTTGGAGAGGTGCGCGAAGGCCTTGCCGCACGTCGGGCACTCGTGCGGCCTCTCGCCCGTGTGGATCCTGGCGTGGCTCCGGAGCGTCGACGAGTCGGTGAAGGCCTTGCCGCACGTCGGGCACGCGTGCGGCCTCTCGTCCGTGTGCTTCATCACGTGCCTCTTGAGGGCGAACGACTGGACGAAGCCCCTGGGGCACAGCGGGCACTTGAAGGGCTTCTCGCCCGTGTGGATCATCGCGTGGCTCTTGAGTGCCGACGACTTCCTGAAGCCGTTCCCGCACACCGAGCAGCGGTAGGGCCTCTCTCCCGTGTGCGTCATCGCGTGCCTCTTCAGGGCCGATGAGCAAGTGAAGGCCCGGCCGCACAAGGGGCACTCGTGCGGCCTCCTGTCGTCGCCGTCCGTCCGGTTCCTCCGGCCCCTGCTGCTCTCCAGGACCACCTCGATCTCCGCCACGTCCGACGGAGTCCCCCGGTCTCCCCGCGACTCGCCGGTTCTCTCGGTAGAACCGCCAGGCCGAGGGTCCTCATTCCCCAAAGGCCCTTCTTTGACGTCAAGACCCTCTTCATCCGAATCAAGGTCCCCATCGTCACTCCCAAGCTCATTCTCCAAAGGTTCCTCTTTAACACGAATATCCTCATCATCGGACTGAAGGACCCCGCCATCTGACTGAAACTCCTCTTCTTCACCGAGGTCCTCCGCTACGCCGAGCTCATCCTCTTGAGAATCAGGGTCCTGACCTAGGAGGCGAAAGGTTCACCGTTGAGCTCCGTGCAAATTTCAAGTAAAACTTTTGTCCGTTACCGGACAAAGGTCTCTCCCCCCCCCCCCCCCTCCTCCAACAACAAATAAAACAACAACAATACGAATACCACATTTTGCGCACATACTCAAAATCGGCATCAATTAATCAATTAATTCGCTACTTTAAAGCAATTTACATTTTGTATGGACGCCTTATCATTTATATCTATTTTTGTGTCAGTCAAAAACGCCGCGGTCCCTGATCTGTGGAATCGGCTCGCACACAAAGCAGGCGCCGCATGTCTCAGGCGCCATTGACGTACTTCTCGACGACCGTGAGTTAAACGAAGTTGTGAATAAAACCGTTGTTTTGTAAAAAAAACTTTTTTAAAGGAGTTTTTGCTGCCCCAAAAGGTAAAAATACCCATCCTTAGTTTTCATACTTTGATGTCGGCAACAGGTCCCCATGATAATAATCATCATTATTATAGTTTAACACGTAGGCTTTCACGACCAATATCATCCATAAGAGGTTTTTGAGTTATACCGCGTAAATATATAAATGTGTCGTTCAAACCAGCCACCACCCGACACAGCGAACTAGTAAGGGTTGTCACGTGAACAGAACGTGCCAATTCGTCACTAGTACAACACACCGGTGTGTTGGAGAGCCAAGCCACAACATTTACAAACTGAGTACGATGTTTCCCCAGTAATTACAACTAGCTTCATCAGGCGACAGCCAGATTTGTGAAGTGGAAGCTGACAGAGCTCTACCATTTCTGGATATTCTGCTCGGATGGGGTAGAAATGGTAATATAACATGCAGCGTTTACCGAAATAAAACGCACACTGACGCCTATCTGAATGCAGAGTCACACCATCACCCCGTAAAAAAATCTGCTCTTATCAAGACGCTCATTCATCGAGCTAAGAAAGTGTCAGATGGTGACAGTCTGAGAAGTGAAATTCAACATGTTTAAGAAGCGCTGCAAATGAACGGTTACAATAATGCACAAATCAACAGGGCATTGAATACCAAAACCAAATCAAACAACGAGAGCACTGAAACTGCCCAAATCATTAAAACGATCAAAATACCGTACATTGCGGGAGTAACAGAAAAACTAGCCAGATGTTTGGAAAAACAAAACATCTGAGTCAGATTTGGCACGGGACATAAAATACAGAATCTAATATCTGGTACAAAAGATGTATTACCGAAGCTATCAACAGAAGGTGTGTACAGGATTAACTGCACGTGTAGTAAATGCTGTGTTGGGCAAACAGCACAAGACTAAAAGAACATCAGAGAAATATTAAATACTCCCAAATAAAACTGTCATCAGTAGCAGAACATGTGTGCCAACAAGGACACTCAATTGATTTTGTTGAAGTTTTGTGCAAAACTAGCTACTACTGTAACCATTCGTCTTAGTTCTGCGTGGAAGCGAATCATCAAATAAGTCATTATTTAAATGCATGCCTACAAAGGGTTCGCATAATGCACATGCAGAATGTACGTCGCTTCCGTAATTCCCCCCCCCCCCCCCCCACATTGTGCAAGAGCGCAGCAGGGTGGTCAATACATCTACGCCTCTATATAAGGAAAGAAGCAGTAAGACTTCTCCACAAATCTGGCTGTCGCCTGGTGAAGCTGGTTGTAATTACTGGCGAAATGTCGTACTCAGTTTGTAAATGTTGTGGCTTGGCTCTCAAACACACCGGTGTGTTGTACTAGTACACTACACTATACACTACGCTACTATACACTACACTATACACGACACTATACACTACTATACACTACTATGCACTACACACTACTATACAGTACACTATACACGACTATACACTACACTATACACGACTATACACTACACTATACACTACTATACACTACACTACTATACACTACACACTACACTACATACTAGTGCTGTACTAGTGACGAATTGGTACGTTCTGTTTACGTGACAACCCTCACTAGTTGGCTGTGCCGAGTGGTGGCGGGTTTTAACGACACATTTATATATTTACGCGATCTCACCCACAAACCTCTATTATGGATTATTATAATAATCATTCTTATTATCAGAGCACGTTTGCTTGCATTGCTGTTGTGCTGTTCACCGTTTGACGTTCGTCCTCCGGTCCAAACATCGGTGCACACTGAAACGGAACTACGTTTACGTTACCAGCTGTAAGTCCCCACTGAACCGCTGTGAAAGCCGCGGCCCTGACCATCACAAACGATGTTGTTAATGGGCGTCGTGTTTAACTCGCCGCGGAGAACCGTGATCACCACTCACCACCACCGCTCGCCACCACCACCACGTCTCACCACCACCATCACGATCACTCACCAGCATCACCACCTCCATCGGCGTCTTCTCTCTCCACCTTCACGGGTGGCCACGTCTCACCGCCCGGCTCCTCCACCTCTCGCTTCACGAACACCTCCATGGGTAGAGAAAGAGCCTCCTCCTCCACCTCCTCTGCCTCCTCCTCCACCTCGTCCACCTCCTCCTTCACCTCCTCCACGTTTCCTGTCCCAAGAGGAACCCAGCGCGGTGAGAGACTCAAGACGACGCCGCTGCCGTCGCCGCCACTCTCCATGAGGTTTCAGCGGGGGGGGGGGGGGGGGGGGAGCAAACGCAGAGACAATGCACCTAGCCCACCACGGCCGCTCGTGCCAGGCTAGGTGCACCTCGAGGACTGCTCACCGGCGGCGGCGGCAGCAGCAGTCCGACAACAACCGCCGTTCGCTACCGAGGTTTCATCAATTCAACTAAAACCTTGTTGATGTTTCCAGCTGTAAGGCCCCACTGAGCTGCTACTGTGTAGTAGATATTTTGTCAGAAGCGACGTCGCCATCACAGATGATAGCAGCTCAACCACGTGGGCTGATATCATCATCGCCGCGTATTTTTAGCAGCAGCCAAATGCTCTAAGCGTGTATTTCTACAGACTCACAGACACCCATAGAGACCCATAGATCCACAGATACCAAAAGTGACTCATACTCACAGAGACTCATAGAGACCCATCGATCCACAGAGACCCATAGAGGTCCATAATCATCGAGATTCATACTAGAAACTAAACTATGTTTATTTTACCATCTGTAAGGTCCCACTGAGCTGCAATGTAGCTTTTTGAGAAGGGACCTGACCATCACAAATGATAGGAGCTCAACCACGTGGGCCTGATGTCATCATCATCACGTGGACATTCATAGCAGTAGACAAATTACTCTAAACGCGTTGTGACGTTGATTCTAAATGTGGAGGGAAAAACCGGAGGAGGACCCGGAGACAAATCCACGCAGCGACCACGGGGAGAGAGACGCAGACTCCACATAGACAGCAGGCGTCTTCAGGGTCGGGATCGAACCCACGACCTCCTGCACACCAAGCGAGGTAGTTAACATCTCACCACAGGCAGAGAGAGATGGGGGAGGAGGGGGGGAGGAGGAAGGGGGATGAGGAGATGCAGGATGCCCAACTGGTGCCCGGACACGCGAAGTCGCACGAAACGTCGAAGAGTCGCACAGCCAAGGCGAATATAAAGATTCAAGATTCAAAGTTCCCGAGGCGGCTTTCTGTCCCGCCCGGCCTCCGGTGACGACGTTCCAACAGACGGCGCCGCTGTCCCCGTGGCCATTGCCACGGCCATCACTGTCACTCCGCTCGTTTCGCGCCCGGTAACCTCGTGCAGCCGCTGGACAAGATGTCGCATAGGCCAGGGGTCCCCAACCCCCGGGCCGCGGGCCACGGGCCGGTCCGTGGCCTGTTAGGAACCGGGCCCCATAGCAGGAGGTGAGAGCGGTGAGTCCGTGCGTGGCCCGCTCCCATTATTTTATTGACCACTTCCGTCCGCGCCTCTTTGCCACACCACGAACTCGTCTCAGCGGTCGCGGTTTTGGTAAGCCCACAAGCTCACCCCTGGCCAACATGAGTAAAAAACAAACGTCGCCGGAGAGCTTCTTTGAAAGGGGGGAAAGACCCAATGATTAAACCCCTCCCGTCCCCCCCGGTCCGTGAAAAAATTGTCTTCCACGAAACCGGTTTCTGGTAACAAAAAGGTTGGGGACCGCTGGCAAAGACAGCACGGTCCACCAGGAGGGAGACATCCCTCGACCGCACCCGGGCATCGATCAGCCTCTCATTGTATCTGCTGTACTCAATCACTCACTCAACTATTCACTCACTCAATCACTCACTCAACCACTCACTCAACCATTCACTCAACCACTCACTCAATCACTCACTCAACTATTCACTCAATCACTCACTTACTCAACCACTCACTCACTTAACCACTCTCTCACTCAACCATTCACTCAACCACTCACTCACTCAACCACTCACTCAATAATTCACTCAACCACTAACTCACTCAACCATTCACTAAACCACTCACTCGATCAACCATTCACTCAACCACTCACTCACCCACTCACTCACTCAACCATTCACTCAACCACTCACTCACTCACTCAACCACTCACTCAACCACTCAATCACTCACTCACCCACTCACTCACTCAACCACTCACTCATCACTCACTCAACCACTCACTCACTCAACCACTCACTCACCCACTCACTCAACCATTCAACCACTTACTAAACCACTCACTCACCCACCACACACTCACCAGGTCAACAGTTGCTGCTGGTACTGAACCAATGGGTGAATGGAGACCGACTGATGAGACCACTCAACGTTGGAACCAGATCCAGGGAGAGAGCGACAGTCCAGCTTCTGCTGAACCACACACACACAGTGTGTTCACGTGCGATGAGTCGGTGAACACCTCACACACACACACACAGTGTGTTCACGTGTGATGAGTCGGTGAACGTCACACAGCGGGGTCCGTACTACCTGCAGGATTCCAGGGAGCCAATGCCACTAGTCTTGTCCCGCATCTCGTCTCTCCCGCTATGCAGATTCCGGGGCCACCCTCCCGCTCTCCCCTCCCATTGGCTATGCACGTTCTGAGGCTCCCTTAACCACGCCCTCCTCCTGGATATGCAGATTCCGGGGCCATCTCCCGCTCTCCCCTCCCATTGGCTATGCACGTTCTGGTGTTCTTTTAACCACGCCCCTCGTAGCAATGCAGATTCCGGGGCCCAGAGGCAGCTGCTATTCACGTTCCGGGGTCTCTCCTACCCCCAGCCCCCCCATTCATTCACCGCTCCACGCTCCCTCGCTCCGTCTCCCCCACGGAGGTTCCACGCGCTCCGAATCCACTACCACCACCACCTCCAGCACCACCACCTCCACCACCTCAACCACCACCTCCACCACCACCACCTCCTGCTGCTGTTCAGGCTCTCTAGCCCAGGTAAACTGAACTCAGAACAGCTGTAAAGGTTTGTAGAGTTACTAAAGTGGTGCATTGTGTAGTGTTCAAGTTACTAAAGTGGTGCAGTGTGTATTAGTGTATACACTCAACTATACACTCCACTATACACTACTTTACACTACACTATACACTACTACGCACTGCACTACTATACACTACATTATACACTACACTATACACTACACGACTATACACTACCATACACTACACTATACACTACACTATACACTACCATACACTACATTATACACTACACTATACACTACACTATGCACTACCATACACTACACTATACACTACACTATACACTATACACTACACACTACACTACTATACACTACACTATACACTACACTATACACTACACTACTATACACTACACTATACACTACACTATACACTGCATAAACCTGACGTGCCGTGCCCACAGGTGAGGTGAGGCCGCTTCGAAAACTCCCGCGGGAGGCGGCAGGAGGAGATCCTCCCGGCCGTGAGATGTCGCGGGGACACCCTGGCGCTGCTGCCGCTACCGGTGAGTAGTCCTCTGGGTACACTTAGCCTGGCACTAGCGGCCGTGGCGGTGGTGGTGGTGGTGGTGACGTCACTTGGTGTAGCCGGATCCGCCCTGTCCCCTCTCCTCCCGTCTTGAATCCTTGCAAGGTGGGGGGGGTCAGCAACAGCGGCAGCAACGATACCAAAAAACAATTCATTACGCGCGTCGATTACCCCATGAATAAGCCAACCGGTAATGGTCATCCATTGCGACGTTTATGATGTCATTAACCCACCCGCCTCTGGTCTACGCACCTCATTGGCTGACAAGTGTCGCCTGGTGATGCTGGTATTTGTTGTAATTCCCAGCGGCGCCACGTCGCGGCTACTCGAATAGCGAACGTGGTCGCGGGTTTGCTCTCCAAAAACACGGCAAACTGGTGAGTGCCGTACCGGTAACTAATTGGCACCACGTTGTATTTACGTGACAAACCCCTCGACTTAGTTTTGCGGTGGTGGTGGTGGTGGCGGTGGCGGGTTTCACTACGTTTAGGCCACGTCCGAGGAAAATATCCACGAATTGGGATGGGTCCATTAGCCACCTCCACTTCCATCTCTCCCGCTCCTCACCGTCCCCGCCTCTCCTTGTGCACAATCCACCATTTCCGCTCCGTTTTCCTGCTCGCCCCCTTGCACTGGAACAAACGTCCCCCTCCACGTGTAGCCAGAAGCACCGCTCCCTATCTAATTTCTACTTCTCGCTCAAGACTCCCACCTCTTATTCCTGGCCACGTCCTTCCCTCCATTCCTAGGTACCCCCGTAATTCCCGTTCCCACTAAGCACACCCTCCCAATACCCCATCCCTATTCACCGTATCACTTTTAGTTACCCAATTGTACCGCTCGTAAACCTTGTAAGGCGCCTTCGATAAAAGCGCTATGCAAATATAAGATAAGATCGTGAACTGGGTGGCTGGGTTTAGCGAGTCGAGATGATTTAGAAACTCACAAAGTGCATCTTCACCGTGCGGCCAGACCACCAATGTGACATCATTTCAACTTGCACGATTGAAACACTGCACGTCAAATTTCCTAGTGATGGTAGTGTGCAAGGCTGGGAGTAAAAGAGATGCAAACACGCTCTTAATAATACATGGATTGTCCTTGAAACTTCTTGGCCTACACCCGAGATACAGTCCCTTTTATAGCCTCGTCTCACCACCAGTGTTTGACCAGAGAACATCAACAGTACAAGGACAATGCAAGCCTTGATAGCCTGGGTTGAGCAGTTCTATATTCCATTTCCCTCCCTTTATTGCTGCTAATCCTACATAATACACGAGCATAATATGACTTTGAGACCCCCCCACCGCCTACACATTCCACAAGGAGTGACTAACCCAATATCTGCATTTGTCATCAATATGCTAAATTCCTCTGTTGATATGTAAACTATTTTGTCAAGGCGCTCTCCTCCCACCCAGCTTAAAATATGCTGCCAAGCTTAGCAGTGTTCATTAGGATGCTGTCTTTCCGACAGCTCTGTTTTTCACCTGAGGACGGCTGCTTGCGTTGTGGCCGAAACGTCGTTAGAATTTTATTTGATTACGTTTTATTTTTATTCTTTTATTATTTCCCTTCTATGTGACTTTACCGAAAGAACCAAGAATATGAATCCCTGCTGTCATGAAAGCTTTTAATCGAAAAATATCGAGGTTTTTGTTTTTTTATCGAATTCGAAAACGATGGCACTTCTTGTTTTTTTGGTTGCCGAAGCCCGCCCACAACCGAAAGGTGTGAAAGGAGGAGACAACTCATCCGGTAGTAGACATGTTTTTTCTATTTCCTTCTTAAAATTTGCGCGGAGCTCAAATATGACGTTTCGCCTTCCAGGTCAGGAGCCTTGTTTTCAAGAGGACCTCCGGTCTGAAGCGGATGAGCTCGGCTGAAGCGGAGGACCTCGGTGAAGAAGAGGAGCTTCAGTCCGATGACGGGGAACTTCAGTCAGATGACGGGAAGCTACAGTCAGACGAAGAGGATATTCGTGTTAAAGAAGAACCTTTGGAGAATGAGATAGAGGACCTTGAGTCCGACGACGGGAAGTTTCAGTCTGATGAAGAGGATATTCGGAGTGACGATGGGGACCTTGATTCTGACGAAGAGGGTCTTGACGTCAAAGAAGGGCCTTTGGAGAATGAAGACTCTCGGCCTGGCGCTTCAACGGAGAGACCCGGGAAGTCGCGGGGAGATCCGGGAACTCCCTCGGACGTGGCGGAGATCGAAGTGGTCCTGGAGAACAGCAGAGGTCGGAGGACTCGGACGAACGACCAGAAATCCGGCGACGACAAGAAGCCGCTCAGTTGCCCTCTGTGCGGCAGGGCGATGGCATGCTTATCGGCCCTGAAGAGGCACACGATGACGCACACGGGGGAGAGGCCCTTCAAGTGCTCCGTGTGCGGGAACGGCTTCAGGCTCGCGTCGACCCTCAAGAGTCACATGATGATCCACACGGGGGAGAAGCCATACAAGTGTTCCCTGTGCGCTAGGGACTTCATCCATTCATCGGCCCTCAAGAGGCACATGATGAACCACACCAACGAGAAGCCGCACAAGTGCTCGGTGTGCGGCAAGGCCTTCACCGACTCGTCGACGCTCAAGAGCCACCTCAAGAGCCACACGGGCGAGAGGCCGCACGAGTGCCCGACGTGCGGCAAGGCCTTCGCGCACCTCTCCAACTTCAGGATTCACGTGAAGATCCACACGGGCGAGCGGGCGCACCGCTGCCCCGTGTGCTCCAAGGGCTTCCTGGAGGCGAAGTCTCTCAAGAACCACCTGATGACCCACACGGGCGAGAAGCCGCACAAGTGCGCCGCTTGCGGCAAGGGCTTCACGAAGCCGTCCTTCCTCAGGAACCACGAGTTGACGCACGCGGACGAGAAGCCGCACAAGTGTGACGTGTGCGGGAAGGCCTTCACCCAGCTGGCGGCCCTCAGGGTCCACGCGATGGGCCACTCGGGAGAGAGGCCGCACAAGTGCGACGTCTGCGGGAAGGACTTTGCGTACCTGTCGGCCCTGAAGATCCACGCGATGATCCACACGGGCGAGAAGCCGCACCGGTGCCCGATATGCGACAAGGACTTTAGGAAGTCGTCGGCCTGCAGCCGGCACATGAAGTCGCACAGCGTGGAGAAGCCGTACAAGTGCTTCGTCTGCGGGAGGAACTTTGCGGATCTCTCAAATCTCAACTTCCACATGAAGTGTCTCAATCACTGAGCCCGTGTGAAGCCCTCAAGCACGGTCCATTCCGTTTGAACGTAGATATCGCTGTTTTCAACCCCCATCTTGACATCCACTGGGGTAAGATTACGACGATCATCGCCAGCAGTCTTCCCCCGGGCATCGGTTACCGCATCGTTTCCAGTTATCATTCCTCGTTTCCATTATGCTCTAATGCGCACTCATGCCTACTTTATAGAGGGCGATATTGGCACGTAAAAATAAAGATTGATTGTGGCTAGATGTTAACTACCTCGCCTGGTATGCGGGGGGTCGTAGGTTCAATCATGACCCTGACGCCTGCTGCTGTATATTTGGAGTTTGCGTGTTCTCCCCGTGGTCGCGTGAATTGTTTTCCCTCCGCAATTTAGAATCACTGCGTGTTTACAGTATTTGTCTGCTATAAGTGTCCACTTGCTGAGGTTGCTGCAACAGCAGCAGCTATCGTCTGTCATCTGAGTTGGATGATGGCATTCCAGTCATTTGCTAGGGGGGTGCCTGTGAATATATTTGTTCCGATTCTGGGCAATTTGTTTTCAGAGTTAATTTCCCCCCGCATCCCCAGCGTTTGGCATTGCTACTGCTTTGGCATTGTTGCTTCATTGGCAACCCCCCACCGCTCTCTCTCCCACTAGCTCTCCCGTCGCCTCCGCAGATCTAACTGCCCCCCCCCCATCTCTAGCCCCGCCCATGTACCTTACCTATATACAGTAGAACCTCTGGTCACGAACGCTTCTGACCACGACCAAATCGGGTTCCGACCAAAAAATTCACAACATTTTTGAATCTGGTCACGAACACAAACTCGGGTGGCGATCAAACATGGCCGTGGCAGATTTCCCCTTCCACGCCATTTTTTTTGTAAGCGCCAAATTTCCTGTTGTTTGTTTACAAACAACACAAAGCGTAACAGTTATGTATATAACTTTTGTTATATAAAATTCCTAGAAAGATATTATTTTGTCAGTGTAGTCATACCCCTCCCCCCTCATTCAAGCCGTAATTTAGAGAGCGAAAGTGCTGAGTACATAAATCGCTAACATAAGAATCCGTTAATCTCTTCTCGCATCATTCATACGATGATGCGGTGAAGTAAACGTTCTTATGATATTACCCTGAATGCTTCCAAAAACAATACTGTACCCAAATATTACTGTTAACTTACTTTAAATAGAAACATGAATTGCTCGTATGAATATTCTCTCTCTCAGAATCGACCGACTGATGTAGCAGACGAAACAATCATCTTGTTGAACGATTCTAAACATTGACGCGGCAATGTTAGTTTTCTCTGTTCAGGTTTTCTCAGTGTTATTCAATGTTTTTACATTTAGTTTACTATTACACTGTGAATTCTATGGCATAATTAACTATTTTTGTGCTTAAAAATCTTTAAAAAACAATATTTATATACAGTTCGTAGGAGTCTGGAACGGATTAATCGTATTTACATACAATCCAATGGGGAAATTAGGTTCGAGTCACGACCAAATCGGGTTGCGACCAAAGTTATGGAACGAATTATGGTCGTGACCAGAGGTTCTACTGTAGTCTATATAACCTCTTGACACGACAGCCCTCTCGCCTTCTTCAGCAGTTGTTTCTTGCTGTAGTTGTCCCACCTGATGACGATTGCTTGTGTTGCGATCACGTCGTGATTTATTTTATTTTATTTCTACCTACGTGACTTTACTGAAAGAACCAAAGAGTATGGATTCCTGCAGTCACGAAAGCTTCAAATCAAGATGGTGTAACAATGTTTTTGTTCCTGGGTAGTGTTATTTCCGAATTGCTTATGCCTCAAAAGTACAGAAAATGGCTATTATTCACCACAAACTTTGCTTTTGTGACCAGGACAGTGATATTTTGAAATTTAGCTATTTCCCAGAACATTCCAGATAGATTCAGTTCTGAGTACACTTAGAGTAGCTTCTAGAACATTCTAGAACTTTCCAGTAATATAAATAGTAGTATAAATACAGGGGCTATTTTGAACAGAGGAAGTCCTCCCGGCCAAATAGGATGCGATCCATTTTAGGACTGAACCTCCGATTCCAAAGTCGGACTCGAGAAGATTGGCAAAGCCGAAGGTGACTGACAGTCTCAAAAGGCGATGAGATGTCACAGGCCGACGAGAACCGTGATTGCTCCGGAGTCGACGATTGAAAGAACGTCGTCGAAGACTTCGGCGATCGCAGTCCCCGTGGAGTAAGTCTTGACGGTAGGGCAGATGAAAGGTTTTTTGGGTTAGATCGCGTAAATATAAATATACAAGCCCACTGAGACCCACACTCATCGAGACCCATACTAACACATTCCTGCGGAGGAAGCTGGTAGGAACGTTGGGTTGCTCGGTCAATGGCCTGCAGGGTCAGCGGCCAGGGCGTGGTGTATTCCGCAAATATGGCCGACTGTGAGGGCGGGCACAAGCCGGCGTGAGTAGGTTAAACGTTGAGTTTTATAAGGGCACCACGGGGTGGCCAGCCCCTCCCCACCCAGCCCCACCCCTCCCACCCAGCCCCTCCCCACCCTCCCCTCTCCACCCGGCCCCACCCCTCCCATTTTTTGATGCACGACGGACGGACACAATAATCCCCTGTGGGCTGGTGTAACCAGGAGGTTCCTACCAGTAAAACTAACCTCTGTTTATGTTACCAGGTGTGAGGTCCCACTGAGCTCTATCGTAGCTCTTTTTCACATAAGCGACCCTTGGCCATCACAGACGATGGCAGCTCAACCAAGTGGCTTATCGTGGTGGAAATGTTTCGAGCAGCAAAATACAGTACTCTGAACGTGTGGCATTGATGTCTAAATGTCGAGGGAGAAACCGGAAGACCCGGAGAAAATTCCACGCGGCCACGGGGAGAGACGCAGACTCCAAATATCCAGCAGCAGGCATCGCCTGATGAAGACCGCTTGTGTTGCGATCGAAACGTCGTGAATTTTAGGTTTTTATTAAAACATTTTAAAAGTTTATTTTTTTCTATCCACGTGACTTTCATCGAAACAACCAAAAGAATGTGATTTCCTGCAGTCACGAAAGTTTTAAATCACAACACTATACACTACTATACACTTTACACTACACTATACACTACTATTCACTTTACACGACACTATACACTGCTATACACTTTACACAACACTATATACTACTAGACACTTTACACGACACTATACACTGCTATATGCTACACGCTACACTATATACTACACACTACTATACACTTTACACGGCACTCTACACTGCTATACACTTTACACTACACTATACACTACTTTACACTACACTATAAACTACTAGACACTTTACACTACACTATACACTGGTAGACACTTTACACGACACTCGACACTACTATACACTTTACACTACACTATACACTTTACACTACTCTACACTGCTATACGCTACACTATATACTACACTACGCACGAGTGCTGTGCAAGTAACGAATTGGCACCGCGTTCTGTTTGCGTGACACTAAAACCCGTGTCGGTGCTGGCGGGTCAAACGACGCCGCGGCTACGCGGGGAGGAGAGTCGAGGACGCGGTGCGAGGAGAAAAACATTGAAAGGAAATGGGAGAGATAGAGAAGGAATGAGAAGCAGAGGATGGAAAGGGAACGGGGAAACGGGCGGGCAAGGGGTCATCACTCGGAATCCGGTCACACTACACTATACACTACACTACTACACACTACATTACTATACACTACACTACCATACACTACACTATTATACACTACACTATTATGCACTACACTACTATACACTACGCTATACACTACACTACTATACACTATACACGACACTACTATACACTACACTATTATACACTACTATACACTACACTACTATACCTACACTATACACTACACTAGTATACACTACTATACACTACACTATTATACACTACTATACACTACACTACTATACCTACACTATACACTACACTACTATACACTACGCTAAACACTACATTACTATACACTACGCTATACACTACTATACACGATACATTAATAGTTTATTGATTGGCGAATGCGGTTGAGATTTGTAGCCGATGCCAAGGCTTGGCTCGCGTCTCGACGCCCTCCACCACCAATCGCTATTCAGGTTCCGGGCCCTCACCACGACCAATGGCCTGCAGGCTCCGCCCCCCCCAAATAGGCTAGTGCAGGTTTCGGGGCCCCCACCACCAATCGACTTTGCAGGCTCCGCCCCCCTCTCAATAAGCTATGCAGGCTCCCCCCCCCCTCTAGGATATGCAGGTTCCGGGCCTCCCTCCACTATTCGGGCCCCCACACTATTCATGTTCCGGGACCCCCATCCTCGTCTCGCCCCGGGTTCGCCCTCCTCTAGGTGGACTCAGCCTCAAATGAGTACCTGGCGTAGCCGTGCGTGTGGTGTGGGGTGTTAACCGTCGGCGCTGGGGAGACAAAGGCGGCAGGGTGTGGGTGCTGGTCACCCACCCCCTCTGTGAGTGCCACAGTGCCGGTATCCTTTCGTAGATGCTGCTAACAGAACTTGCCCCTACAGGCCTGCTGGAGGCTACCTGGGGGAGCTTTGTCTATGTGTGCATCATAGATGCTGCTACTCGCTACTAGCAGCACTTGCCCCAACAGCCCTGCTAGAGGCTACCTAGGGGAGCTTTGTCTGTGTGCACATCATAGGTGCTGCTACTCGCTACTATCAGCACTTGCCCCTACAGCCCTGCTAGAGGCTACCTGGGGGAGCTTTGTATGTGTGTACATCATAGGTGCTGCTACTCGCTACTAACAGCACTTGTCCCTACAGCCCTGCTAGAGGCTACCTGGGGGAGCTTTGTCTGTGTGTGTGCATCATAGGTGGTGCTACTCGCTACTAACAGCACTTGCCTCTACTGCCCTGCTAGAGGCTACCTAGGGGAACTTTGTCTGTGTGTCAGGTGCTGCTGTAAATGTCGACGTGATGATGATGATGATGAGGATATCAGCCATTGGGTTGAGCTGCTATCATCAGTGATAGCCAAAGGTCTCTGTGGGTCTCTATGAGCATGGGTCTCTGTGGGTCTCTGTGGGTCTCTATGACTATGGGTCTCTGTGGGTCTGTGTGGGTCTCTATGACTATGGGTCTATGTGGGTCTCTGTGAGTATGAGTCTCTGTGGGTCTGTGTGGGTCTTTATGAGTATGGATCTCTTTGGGTCTCTGTGAGTATGAGTCTCTGTGGGTCTGTATGAGTATGGATCTCTGTGGGTTTCTGTGAGTATAAGTCTCTGTGGGTCTGTGTGGGTCTGTGTGGGTATGGGTCTCTGTGGGTCTCTGTGAGTATGAGTCTCTGTGGGTCTGTGTGGGTCTCTATGAGTATGGATCTCTGTGGGTCTCTGTGAGTATGGGTCTCTGTGGGTCTGTGTGGGTATGGGTCTCTGTGGGTCTCTATGGGTATGGGTCTCTGTGGGTCTGTATGGGTCTCTGTGAGTATGGGTCTCTGTCGGTCTGCATGGGTCTCCATGAGTATGGGTCTCTGTGGGTCTGCATGGGTCTCTGAGTATGGGCATAGTGTAGTTTGTAGTGTAGCGTACAGTAGTGTATAGTGTAGTATATAGTGTAGTTTGTAGTGTATAGTGTAGTGTATAGTGTAGTGTATAGTAAATCTTGATTTTAAGCTACTATACAATACACTATACACTACACTATACACTACTATACACTACACTATACACTACTATACACTACTATACACTACATTATACACTACACTATACACTACTATCCACTACACTATACACTACACACTACACTATATACTACACTATACACTACACTATACACTACACAAACCTGACGTGCCGTGCCCACAGGTGAGGTGAGGCCGCTTCGAAAACTCCCGCGGGAGGCGGCAGGAGGAGATCCTCCCGGCCGTGAGATGTCGCGGGGACACCCTGGCGCTGCTGCCGCTGGCGGTGAGTAGTCCTCTAGGTGCACCTAGCCTGGTGGTGGTGGCGGCGGTGGTGAGTCGTCCTCTGGGTGCACCTAGCCTGGCACTAGTGGCCGTGGTGGTGGTGGTGGTGGTGGCGGTGAGGGTCCCTGGTTGCTGGAGAGCGGCGGCGCCGTCTTGAGATTCTCACTGTGCTGGGTTCCTCTTGGGACAGGAGACGTGGAGGAGGTGGAGGAGGAGGAGGAGGTGGAGGTGGTCCCTTCTCTAACCGTGGAGCCGCTCGTGAAGCGAGAGGAGCCGGGCGGTGAGACGTGGCCGCCCGTGAAGGTGGAGAGAGACGACGCTGACGACGGTGAGTGGTGGGTGGTGGTGGTGAGTGGTGGTGAGTGGTGGTGGGTGGTGGTGGGTGGTGGTGGGTGGTGCGTGGTGGTGGTGAGTGGTGGTGGGTGGTGGTGAGTGGTGGTGAGTGGTGGTGGTGGTGAGTGGTGGTGAGTGGTGGTGGGTGGTGGTGAGTGGTGGTGGTGAGTGGTGGTGGGTGGTGGTGAGTGGTGGTGGGTGGTGGTGAGTGGTGGTGAGTGGTGGTGAGTGGTGGTGGTGAGTGGTGGTGAGTGGTGTTGAGTGGTGGTCGTTAACAGGGCTGCTCTACCATAACAGAGCCCGCCCAGGGGGCGGAGCTGGCGACGGCGTAATGCGTGACGTGACGCGTCATCACGCGGGCAACATCGATGGCGAGCGGCCAATCTGAACCCCGGTGTTGCACTGCACCCACCCCCCACCCCCCACCCTCTCGCCCCCCACTCCCCCTTCCTCCCCTCATCACTCAACCTGCACTGCTGCCCAGCGTGGCGAAAGTTGTAGTCACATGACCCCTCCCCCTCCACCCCCATAGCTGGATAAGTTTTTCTTTTCATGGAAATTCGCGCGGAGCTCAACGATGACCTTTCGCCTCCTAGGTCAGGAATCTGATTTTCGCGAAGTCCTCCGATCTGAAGAGGTGGGGGACTTCGGCGAAGAAGAGGACCTTGACTCCGACGACGGGAACCTTCGGTCCGACGAAGAGGATATTCGTGTTAAAGAGGAACCTTTGGAGGATGAGAAAGAGGGCCTTGAGTCCGACGACGGGAAGCTTCGCTCTGACCAAGAGGATCTTCACGGCAAAGAAGGGCCTCGAGAGGTTGAGGACCTTCCTGCTGGCGCTTCAACGGAGAGACCCGGGAAGTCGCGGGGAGATCCGGGGACTCCGTCGGACGTGGCGGAGATCGAGGTGGTCCTGGAGAACAGCAGGGGCCGGAGGAACCGGACGGACGGCCGGAAATCCGGCGACGACAAGAAGCCGCTCAGCTGCCCTCTGTGCGGCAGGGCGATGGCGTGCTTATCGGCCCTGAAGAGGCACACGATGACGCACACGGGGGAGAGGCCCTTCAAGTGCTCCGTGTGCGGGAACGGCTTCAGGCTCGCGTCGACCCTCAAGAGTCACATGATGATCCACACGGGGGAGAAGCCGTACAAGTGTTCCCTGTGCGCCAAGGACTTCATCCACTCTTTGGCCCTCAAGAGGCACATGATGAACCACACCAACGAGAAGCCGCACAAGTGCCCGACGTGCGGCAAGGCCTTCACGGACTCGTCGACGCTCAAGAGCCACGCAAGGATCCACACGGGCGAGAGGCCGCACGAGTGCCCGACGTGCGGCAAGACCTTCGGGCACCTCTCCAACTTCAGGAGCCACGTGAAGATCCACACGGGCGAGCGGGCGCACCGCTGCCCCGTGTGCTCCAAGGGCTTCCTGGAGGCGAAGTCTCTCAAGAACCACCTGATGACCCACACGGGCGAGAAGCCGCACAAGTGCGAACTCTGCGAGAAGGAGTTTGTACAGCCGTCGGCCCTGAAGGTCCACGCGATGATCCACACGGGCGAGAAGCCGCACCGGTGCCCGATATGCGAGAAGGACTTCAGAAATTCGTCGGCCTGCAACAGGCACATCAAGTCGCACAGCGTCGAGAAGCCGTACAAGTGCTTCGTCTGCGGGAGGAACTTTGCGGATCTCTCAAATCTCAACTTCCACATGAAGTGTCTCAATCACTGAGTCCGTGTTAGCCAAGGTACCGGCACGTGTGCACGTACGTTGAACTTATTTCGCACAGTACGCAGCCAACCGCGGCTTATCGGAGGCGCTGGGGCAAGGACAACAAACTAAACACAATGACAACATCGACAAGCGGTTCTAAAGATGTTAGTTTTGTCAATGTGGATGATTTAAAAGTACAGCGTAGCTCCCAGCGGCTCCCTGATATTGGTAAGGAAGAGCGTTCCAGACTGCCAGTGGCGGCAGCAGCAGCCGCATCTCAAAGCGCCGCGCGATGATGCGGTGGCCGCCATCTTTGTTCGATGGCCAACCAGAGCCTGCTGCCGCTGCGAGGATGACTGTTATGCAGCGCGTTGTACCCTCGCGCAAACAGATGCACCGGTCAACACACCCACAACATCGCTTGTGACGCGGCCCCCGTAGGTTCGTTGACCTTGTTAATGTTTGTCCTTCAAGCCACTACTTTTGCTCGTACATCTGACCCATTCTGTTCCGTTGCTGCTGTTGCTGCTGCAGCCCGTTCGTGATGCGTAGTCAGCGACAGGGCCCGCTTGCTGCCTCCAAACGCGCGACCTCTGTTGCGACAGCGATCAGCATAAACCGCTCTTGCAGCCATCCCAGTAACCGGTGTCTCGAGTGACTTGTTTGATCCATGGATTACAGGGGGGTGGGGGGGACGACCATGGGGATAGTGGCGGTGCCAATAATTTGTGCGTACGTATGTTGAACTTACGGAATGTTCGTAAGTGCGGAATGTTCGTAAGTAAGGAACGTTTTTGGGTGAGGAATGATCGTAAGTGTGGAACGTTCGTAAGTGAGGAACGTTCGTAAGTGTGGAATGATTGTAAGTAAGGAACGTTCCAAGAAGAATCGGCCAAAACCCTCGGCAGTGGGACGCAGCTACACGTTGACACGGAGAGGTCGTTCAGATAATAATGCGTCATCGGTTGTACGTTCGTGTGTGTGTGTGTGTTGAACTTGATCCCTCGATTTAAGAACGAAACAGGAGGAGGATTTCTACACAAATCTGGCTGTCGCCTGATGATGCCGGTTGTAATTACTGGCGAAACGTCACGGGACTCAGATTGTAAATGTTGTGGGTTTACTCTCCAACACACCGGTTTAGTGCTGTACTGGTACACTACACTATACACTACACTATACGATACACTATACACTACACACTACACTAGTTCTGTACTGGTATACTACACTATACACTATACGATACACTATACACTACACTATACACTACACTAGTGCTTTACTAGTAACGAATTGGCACGCTCTGTTTACGTAAAACAACCCTCTTACTCGTTGGCTGTGTCGGACGGTGGCGGGTTTAACGACACGTTTGTATTTACGCGATGTAACCCAACGAAAACCTCTTATGGATAATGTTGATCGCGAAAGCGTACGCGTTGAAGTGGTGTTGAACTTCTCATACCGTGTCAACCCATACGGACTTACCCCGTATTCTTGCACAGGAAAATTAAGTTATCAGGCCCATTCGGCGTTCAGATAATCGTCATGCTGAGACACAAAGATAAAGATCCCCCATATAGCCTTAACAGACTGTTGGGGCAAGTGTTGTTAGCGAGCAGCACCTATGAAGGCTACCGGCATTGTGGCACACACAGAGGGGTCGGTGGGTGGCTAGCACCACCACGCCCGGCCGCCTTTGTCTCCCTCAGTGATGATGCCTACTACACTACACCAGGTAACTCATTTGAGGCTGAGTCTACCTCGGGAGCCGCACGAGTTTGTAGGGCAGCGTAGCGGTCTAAGGGGCCGTCAATAAATGACGTCACGCGATTTTGGATGATTTTTGACCCCGCCCCCCCTCGTCACACGGCGTCACAAAACGTCAGATCCCCCCCTCAAATATGACGCCACAAAGCTTTGCCCCCTCCCCCCAAAATAAAACATACTTCGCTTTAAACTATTGTCATTGTAGTGCGTATTTAATGTGGCGCCGCACTCTGATGTTGTAAGAGAAAACATTTATTAAAAAGTCTATTTAATTAAGTAGAACGTGTTGTCTATATTCATTTAAAGTTGCGCATTTTGATGTGACGTCACATTTCTCAAACCCCCCCGCCCATCGTCACAGATCGTCACAAATGTCTGACCCCGCCCCCCCCCCCCCCCATTTATGGACGGCCCCTAATCAGTTCCACACGGAGTCGGGCTTTATACCACCCCCTAATGCAGGTGGTGATTTGTTTTTTTGTTGGGTTAGATGGCAACTGGCTGCCGCCTGATGGTGCCGGTCGAAATTGGTGGCGAAACGTCGTACTCGGATTGTAAATGTTGTGGATTTGCTCTCCAACACAACCGGTGTAGTGCTGTACTAGTATACTACACTATACACTACACTATACACTAGTGCTGCACTAGTATACTACACTATACACTAGTGCTGTACTAATATACTACACTATATACTACACTATACACTACACTATACACTAGTGCTATACTAGTATACTACACTATACACTACACTATACACTAGTGCTGTACTAGTATACTACACTATACACTACACTATACACTAGTGCTGTACTAGTACACTACACTATACACTACACTATACACGACACTATACACTAGTGCTATACTAGTATACTACACTATACACTACACTATACACTAGTGCTGTACTAGTATACTACACTATACACTACACTATACACTAGTGCTGTACTAGTATACTACACTATACACGACACTATACACTACACTATACACTAGTGCTGTACTAGTATACTACACTATACACTACACTATACACTACACTATACACTAGTGCTATACTAGTATACTACACTATACACTACACACTAGTGCTGTACTAGTATACTACACTACTACACTATACACTAGTGCTGTACTAGTATACTACGCTAGACACTACACTATACACGACACTATACACTACACTATACACTAGTGCTGTACTAGTATACTACGCTAGACACTACACTATACACTACACTATACACGACACTATACACTACACTATACACTAGTGCTGTACTAGTATACTACACTATACACTCGTGCAGGAGGGGGTAGGCTGGGTAGAGGCCACGTGCCCAGTCTTGTACCGCATCTTGCCATTGCTGTGCAGATTCCGGGGCTCCCCCCACTCGGCTATGCAGATTCTAGGGCCACAGGGGCCGTTGCTATTCACGTTCCGGGGTCTCTCCCACCCCCAGCCCCCACTCATCCACCGCTCCACGCTCCCTCGCTCCGTCTCCTCCACGGAGGTCCCACGCGTTCCGAGTCCACCACCTCCTCCACCACCACCACCTCAACCTCCACCACCACCAGCACCTACCACCACCACCTCAACCATCACCACCTACCTCCACCACCACCTCCACCACCAGCACCTACCAACACCTCCACCACCACCAGCACCACCACCTCCTCCACCCCCACCACCTCTTCCACCACTTCCACCACCACCTCCACCCCCTCCTCCACCTCCACCACCACCACCTCCACCACCACCTCCACCCCCACCACCTCCTCCTCCACCACCAGCACCTACCACCACCACCTCCACTACCTCCACTACCTCCACCACCAATACCTCCACCACCACTACCTCCACCAACACCTCCACCAGCACCTCCACCACCACCTCCCCCACCCCCACCACCTCCACCCCCTACTCCACCACCTCCACCCCCACCACCTCCACCACCACCTCCACCACCAGCACCTACCACCACAACCTCAACCACCACCTCCACCATCACCAGCACCTCCACTACCTCCACCAACACCTCCACCACCACCTCCACCACCTCCACCACCACCTCCACCACCTCCTCCACCACTTGTGTCAGTCTCTAGTTCTCTTTCGTGAGTCTGTGAGTCTCCGTATGAGTCTATGGGTCTCCGTGTGAGTCTACGTGGGTCTCCGTGTGAGTCTTCGTGGATCTCCGTGTGAGTCTACGTGAATCTCCGTGTGAGTCTTTGGATCTCTTGCGTGAGACTTTGGGTCTCCGTGTGAGTCTCCAGTTCTCTTGCGTGAGTCATTGGGTCTCCGTGTCAATCTCCGGATCTCTTGCGTGAATCTGTGGGTCTCTGTGTGAGTCTCTAGTTCTCTTGCGTGAATCTGTGGGTCTCTGTGTGAGTCTGTGGGTCTCCGTGTGAGTCTTTGGATCTCCGTGTGAGTCTACGTGTCTCCGTGTGAGTCTTTGGATCTCTTGCGTGAGACTTTGGGTCTCCGTGTGAGTCTCCAGTTCTCTTGCGTGAGTCTGTGAGTCTCTGTGTCAATCTCCGGATCTCTTGCGTAAATCTGTGGGTCTCTGTGTGAGTCTGTGGTTCTCCATGTGAGTCTTTGGATCTCCGTGTGAGTCTACGTGTCTCCGTGTGAGTCTCTAGTTCTCTTGCGTGAGTCATTGGGTCTCCGTGTGAGTCTCCGGATCTCTTGCGTGAATCTGTGGGTCTCTGTGTGAGTCTCTAGTTCTCTTGCGTGAATCTGTGGGTCTCTGTGTGAGTCTCTAGTTCTCTTGCGTGAGTCTGTGGGTCTCCGCTTCAGTCTTTGGATCTCCGTGTGAGTCTGTGGGTCTCCCTGTCGGAGGTCGGGCGATTGCCTCGCTGTTTGGTGCTATCTCGAGTGTCGTGCCCGCAGGTGACGTGACGGAGCAACGGAGGCCGCAGGAGGAGATCCTCCCGGCCGTGAGATGTCGCGTCGTAGAGGAGTTGATGAGCCACGGAGACACCCTGGCGCTGCCGCCGCTACCGGTGAGTAGGCCTCTAGGTGGACCCAGCCTGGTACTAGCGGCCGTGGTGGTGGCGCTGCCGCCGCTACCGGTGAGTAGGCCTCTAGGTGCACCCAGCCTGGCACTAGCGGCCGTGGTGGTGGCGGTGACGTCCCAGGCCACCCTAACGATGCCTGCTGCTGCATATTTGGTGTCCGCGTCTCTTTCTTTCACTCTTCGCGTGGTGAGATGTTAACTACATCGCCTGCTATGCAGGATGTCGTGGGTTCGATCCCAACCGCGACGCTATTACGATGGATAGGGGATTGTCAGGGTCGGGATCGAAGTCACGCCCTCCTGCACACCGGGCGAGGTAGTTAACATCTCACCACCGTGGGTCGCTTGGGGACAGGAGACGTGGAAGAGGATGAGGAGGAGGAGGTGGAGTCCCCTTCTCTGCCCGTGGAGCTGCTCGTGAAGCGAGAGGAAGAGGAGGCGGAGGAGGGCGACGAGGGGAAGCCGTCAGCGCCCCCCGAGCACGACGCGGCGGCCAGCGCCGGGCGCCCACTGCTCGTCAAAGAGGAGGAGAGCGGCTGGACACGGCGGTGCGGGGGGGCGAGGGCGGTGGTGGTGGGCACGGCCTCGGCGTGGGGCGGCGGCGGTGGGCACGGCGGCGGTGGTGGTGGTGGCGCTCCGGCGACAATGGACGGAGACCGCCGGAGCGACGGTTCGCCCCCTCCGGGCCGGCGTGGGCGACGCCCGGAGGCAGGCGGAGGTGGCGGAGATCGAGGTGGTCTTGGAGGAGGAGGACGGTAATGGTGGTGGGGGGTGGGGGGAGGGGTGCGGTCTCAGTGGGGGCCCCGTGCTGGGTAGGAGATGTTGACGACCTCGCCTGATACGCAGGAGGTCGTGGGTTCGATCCCGACCCTGACGACACCTGCTGCTGGCTATTTGGAGTCTGCGTCTCTCTTTCTCTCTCTTCCCGTAGTCGTGTGGAGATTTTCCCTCCACATTTAGAATCGTGTAGTGTATAGTAGTGCATAGTGGCGTATAGTAATGTATATTATAGTATATTATAGTGTAGTGTATAGTGTAGTGTATAAAGCATCTGAAACTGGCGGGCGACGATGCGGTGACCAGAGTTTTTGGTCGACAGCCGGCCAAAAGCCGCCCCGCCGCTGCTGCTGCTGACCACCAGAGTGATTGTTGTACTTGTTGTGGTGATGGTGGTGGTGGTTGTTGGTTTTGCCATTTAGGAACACGCCGAGCGACGGTTCCCGGTGCGGCCTCGGAGGCGTCGCCACCGGACGCGGCGACGGTCGGCATCCCCAACGCCCCCAATGGTCAGTTCCACCGTTGGACATCACAGCGAGGTCCACAACACCACCACCACCACCACACCACCACTACCGCCGCCACCACCACCACAACCACCACCACACCACCAGTACACCACCGCCACCACCACACCACCGCCACCACACCACCACTACACCACCGCCACCACCACACCACCACCACACCACCACCACAACCACCACCGCCACACCACCACCGCACCACCACCACACCACCACCGCCACACCACCACCGCCACCACCACAACTACCACCACCACACCGCCACCACCATCACCATCACTACCAACGCCGTTACGGCACCACCCTCCGCGGTATCACCACCGTCTCTGATTTCGCTGCCGCCGGAGTGGGAATGACGGCAGCAGCCTTCACACACCTCATTCTTACTGCTAACTCCTCCCCCCCTACCTCCCTCCTCCTTCCTCCTCCCTCCATCTCCTCCTTCCCCCCCTTCCTCCCCCTACCTCCTGCTCCCCCCTCCCTCCTCCCCCTACCTCCTCCTCCCCCTTCCCTCTCCTCCCTCTCCTCCCTCCCTCCCTCAACCCCTCTTCCCCCTCTATCCTCTCCCCTCCATCCTCTCCCTTCCATCCTCCTCACCCCTCCTGTTTAAATAGAGATTTAAATCTTGACTTAAAGCTTTCGTGACGGCACAAATTCATATTCTTTGGGTCTTTCGGTAAAGCCACGTATATAGGTTCAAATAAAATAACGAAAAAATACCAACAAACTACTTTTATAATTTTTTTGTTAATTTCTTTGAACCTATCTACGTGACTTTACCGAAAGACCCAGATAATATAAGTAGAGATTCTAATGATTTCCTCTCTCTCTGCAGGATCGCACCAATCGGGCATCCAGTGGGCTCGCGAGGCGATCCTGCTCCTCATCGACACGTACCGCCGCCACCGGGGGGACTTCGAGTCACCCCTGGTGAAGAAAGTGGACGTCTGGAGACGGATCTCCAGCGTCATGGCCGCAAGCGGCTACACCTACAACCCGGACCAGTGCGATAAGAAGATGCGGGCGCTAAAGTTCAGGCACGGTTATTACGGCGCCGGGCGGTGCATGTCACTGCCCATAGACTCAGCACTGCCCATAGACTCAGCACTGCCCATAGACTCAACACTGCACCATAGACTCAACACTGCCCATAGACTCAACACTGCATCATAGACTCAACACTGCCCATATACTCAACACTGCCCATAGACTCAGCACTGCCCATAGACTCAGCACTGCACCATAGACTCAGCACTGCCCATATACTCAGCACTGCCCATACACTCAGCACTGCCCATATACTCAACACTGCACCATAGACTCAGCACTGCCCATATACTCAACACTGCACCATAGACTCAGCACTGCCCATAGACTCAACACTGCCCATAGACTCAACACTGCACCATAGACTCAATACTGCCCATAGACTCAACACTGCACCATAGACTCAACACTGCCCATAGACTCAGCACTGCCCATATACTCAACACTGTCCCATAGACTCAACATTGCCCATAGACTCAACACTACCCATAGACTCAACACTGCACCATAGACTCAGCACTGCACCATAGACTCACCACTGCCCATAAACTCAACACTGCACCATAGACTCACCACTGCACCATCGACTCAACACTGCACCATAAACTCAACAATGTCCATAGACTCAACACTACAGTATATATTCAATACTGCACCATAGTCTCAACACTGCACTATCCTCTCTCTTCTTTCTCCACGATCGCAAGCACAGCGTCGCGTCACGCGGTTGACGTTTGCCGCTCTGAACCAGCACCGTCGCCGTCAGTGAGGCACCGCGCGGACAACATTCCCCCCGCCCCGACCCACCCCACGGTCCAGGTACAAGACGATCCGGGACAATGTGGGCAAGGCGACGGCACGCGGCCGCTCTTCCTGGGAGTTCTTCGACCTCGTGCGGGACCTCGTGGGTTCAGCGCCTCACCGCGGTGGTGGGGCGGCAGCGGCGGCACAAGCGGCAGCGGTGGCGGTGACCTCGGCGCCACCGCCCAAAGCACGCAAAGGTCGGTGACTTAGTTTATTTATTTGTTGTTATTATAATTTTATTATCATTCGATTTATTCTTTTGCCTATTTTTTTCTCTCTCTTTTTCTTTCGTTTTGTTCTCCCCGCCACAGATTTTGTCTTTTGACTCTGGGGCGCCCGAATGACATGGGGGGTGGGGGGGAGCGGGTGGGGGGATCGGGGGGGGGGGGTTTACATGACATCTGAACCACCCCTGTACAGGGACTCCTTCACTTACGAACGAGTTAGGTTTCAGAGATTTGTTCGTAAATCGATTCGTTCGGAGGTCCAATTTGACTTTTTTATTCCAAACGTGTTGTACCATACATCATATACTACACTACATTATATACTAAAACACTACATTATATACTACTACACTATAGTATATACTACTATATACGATATAATATACTCCACTACATTATATACTATATACTATTATATACTGCTACACTACATTATAGGAACCCCTCTACTTACGAACGTGGAAGGTTCCAGAGATCTGTTCGTAAGTCGTGAGAATTATTTTATTATGTTTTATTTTTATTATTTTATTATTTCCCTTCTACGTGACTTTACCGAAAGAACCAAGAAGATTATTTATACTCTTTGGTTCTTTCGGTAAAGTGATTTCTTTTACTTTATACCTACGTGACTTTACCGAGAGAACAAATGCTGTATGGATTCCTGCAGTCACGTAAGCCTCAAATCATTATTATTATTTACTCATCGCCTCCCGTTCTTTAGTTCGTTCAGACGACGACGACGACGCCGCCGTGCCTCCCGGGAGCTCTGCGCCCAACGTCGCTGGGACGTCGCCTCTTCTTCCTCCTCCGCCTCCTCCTCCTCTGCCTCCTCTTCCTCCACATCCCGGCAACAACGTAGCGGCGGCGTCGCCATCATCGTTCGACCGTCGGAGGAAACGGAAGAGAGGAGGTGGAGGAGGAGCTGGGGAGCCGGTAGATGATGGACCCCCGCCGAGGTGGTTCCGGGAGTTTGCGAGGTCGCAGGACGAGGCGATGAGGGAGTTGATGAGCATCCAGCGGGAGGCGCTGAGGGTCGCCCGCGACAGGAACGACCTCCTCCGCTCGTTCACCGACCTGCTGAAGGAATCTCTGAAGAAGTAAACGAATAAATGTAATGTCTGTTGCCGCGGTTCTAACTTAACGATTAAACTCACCCATTTATGTTACCGGCTTGTAAGGCCCTCACTCTATGGGTCTCAGTGTGGCGAGTCTGTGGGTCTCTGTGTGCTGAGTCTATGGGTCTCTGTGTGTTGAGTCTATGGGTCTCTGTGTGCTGAGTCTATGGGCCTCTGTGTGTTGAGTCTATGGGTCTGCATAATGAGTCTATGGGTCTCTGTGTGATGAGGCTATAGGTCTCTGTGTACTGAGTCTATGGGTCTCTGTGTGGTGAGTCTATGGGTATCTGTGTGATGAGTCTATGGGTCTCTGTATAAATGAGTCTATGGGTATCTGTATAATGACTCTATGGGTCTCTGTGATTAGGCTATAGCCTAAAACTAAACAATGTTTATGTTACCAAGTGTGAAGTCCCAGCATCCCACGTCAGAAAATGAGGTTTACCGCAGCCTTCGTTCGGAGGTTCGGAGAGCCGTGAGGCGCTGCAAGGATGGGTGGTAGTCGCGGGTTACTGAGGAGATGGAATCAATGGCCCGCGATCACAAATCACTCTTTAATTTCTTCAAAAAAGTTGCGCCACCCCTATCACCATCATTAGGGAAAAGAACAGTGATCCAATCTCCAACCCCCAGGAACAGGTTTGCAGATTTGCTGAGCATTTCTGTGAAGTCCTGGGGGAGGGAAAATTGCTCAGTCTGGAATAGATCATGGGACAAAGTCTGGAAGACCCTGCTGAGGCTGCAGTGCCTCAAATATTGGAAGAGGAAGTCACCCCCTGTGAGTGGCTGGCTGAGGTGCCATCTGTTGAGGAAGTACTGAAGGCGATCCAGAGTCTGAGACCAGGAAAGGTACCAGGCAGAGATGATATCTCAAGCGAAATGCTGATGGAGGGTGGCGTTTGTACAAAGACTGCTTTACATGACATCATTATAAGTCTGGACCACTGGACAGGTTTCGCAGGATTGGAAGGATGCCCTGGACCGCACATACTATAACAACTACAGGGGCATCTCACTCCTCAGTGTGCCGGGAAAGGTCCTGGCAAAGAATTATTCAACGCGATTTGGACGACTTTTCACCCCCCCCCCCCCCCCGTCACACGGCATCACAAAAAGTCAGACCCCCCCTCAAATATGACATCACAAAGCTCTGCCCCCCCCCAAACCATATTTCCATTTTGAAAATAAAACATGCTTCAAATCGCTTTAAACTATTGTCATTGTAGTGTGTATTTAATGTGGCGCTGCACTCTGATGTTGTAGGAGAAAACATTTATTAAAAAGTCTATTTAATTAAGTTAAACGTGTTGTCTATATTTATTTAAAAGTTGCGCATTTTGATGTGACGTCACATTTCTCACCCCCCCCTCGTCACACATAGTCACAAATGTCTGAACCCCCCCTCCCCTAGGTGCGTGACGTCATTTATGGACGGCCCCTAACCCTAAAAACCTGTATTGTGGATATTGGTCGTGAAAGCCTCCGACGTGTTAAAATGTCGCCTTGCGAGTCTTTCTCGAAACACTTTCATGCACTTGGACAATGTGGTGGACCGTAGGTTGGTGCAACGTCTCAGATAACCGTGCCGATTCCATTCAGAAGATACTTCACGAGGAATCCCGATGAGCTATAAAGCTCTTTAATTACAGATGTCCAGTAGAGGCCACACGTGGCCGTCGGAACGTTACAGGAACAACAACCCACAGAACTCACAAACACGATATGAGTGCAAAGTACAAGACAGGTAAACACACAATCGCCTAGACAGACACAAACAACCGCCATTCGTCACTAAGTGGTGGTGATGTCACCACGACGCTTGTGCCAGACCATGTGCACCTTGAGGCCACGTGAAGTGTCGAACACCCGCTGGCAGGTCACGGGGCAGACCCAGGTGCCACGGGTCTACTGAGATGACTGGCTGATTGCACCACCTGTGCCCCCTACTGTACCAACTTGCTGTGCTTTAGCCACCCGGTGCTCCGCTCGTTGTTGTGAGCGTCGCTCCTCCGCCCTCCATTGTTGTTGGAGGGCAGGTAAACACACAATCACACAGACACACAACACACACAAAGACACACACAATCACCTAGACACACAGATATAACACTAAACCATCCCCCATCCATATCAAGCAAAGCCCTACTGAGGGTGTGAACTGTTTGTTTAGAAGCGACGTGGCCATCACAAATGATCATCATCATCACGTGGACATTTATAGCAGCAGGGGCCGTCCATAAATTACGTCACGCGATTTTGGACGATTTTTGATCCCCCCCCCGCCTCGTTACACGGCGTCACAAAAAGTCAGACCCCCCCCCTCAAATATGACGACAAAGCTCTGCCCCCCCCCCCCCCAAAAAAAAAAAACATGCTTCGAATCGCTTTAAACTATTGTCATTGTAGTGCGTATTTAATGTGGCGCTGCAGGCTGATGTTGTTATAACAATTCTATATTTATTTAAAGTTGCGCATTTTTACGTGACGTCACATTTCTCAAACCCTCTCCCCCTCGTCACACATCGTCACAAATGTCTGACCCCCCCCCCTAGGTGCGTGACGTCATTTATGGACGGCCCCTAAAAACGATAGTCCTATAAAAGTGTTGACATTTTTTTGAAGCACCCTGTATTATAGGAGCCATGTTTGTTTGCAAGTTTTGCCACAAGTGCCGAGTGTGGTTAACGCAAACCTGATGCCTTGCAAGGGGTGTCCATTTTGAGTTTGACCATCTGAACACAACTTCCTGTTTTATTGCCAGAAAGGGGAAAGTCAAGGTTCAGGACGTCTCAAATAAACTCAAAGCCCTCGCGTGGCGTCGCGAGCTCTTCTTTCCGAATCTTCATCGTTGTCGTCTGCGCCCAGACATCCCCTTCCTTGTCCCCCCGCCCCCCGGATCTCCAGAGCCTCAATCTACCTCGGGGCTCTCGGTTTTTGGTTCGAGCGAAGCCCCGGGTTTTAAACGGCCCACGCTCTGGGCCCAAGGCCCGTAGTGGTTCAGACACTTGACGTGAAAGTCGAGGTTCGAAAGCTCCGCAAAGCTCCTCCCGCACACGAAGCACTTGTGCGGCTTCTCCGCGCTGTGCGTCCTCGCGTGCTTGTCGCGAGCCGACGGGTTGACGAAATCCTTGGCGCACGTCGGGCACTTATACGGACTCCTGCCTGCGTGCGTCATCTTGTGAATCTTGAGCGCCGACAGATGGGCGAAGTCCTTCCCGCACGTGTCGCACCTGTGCGAATCTCCCGCGTGGGTCCTCGTGTGAGCGTTGAAAGCCGACAACTGCGCAAAGTCCTTGCCGCACGCGGCACACGTGAATGGCTTGCACCCCGTGTGGCTCATCATGTGGTACCGGAGGGACTTGGCGACGACGAATCCCCTCCCGCACACGGGGCAACGGAGGGGCTTCTCGTCCGCATGGACCTTGGCGTGGACCCTGAGGTCCGAGAGCTGCGCGAAGGCCTCGCCGCACAGCGAGCACCGGTGCGTCTTCTCGCCAGCGTGGACCCTGACATGGGCCCTCAGCGACGACGGGTCGGCGAAGGTCCGGCCGCACGGTGGGCAGGCGCGAGCCCCGCCGCCGCCGCCGTCGTCGTGGCTCGCCATGTGCCTCTTGAGGGAGAAGGAGAGGACGAAGCCCCTCGCGCACTGCGGGCACCTGAACGGCTTCTCGCCGCCGTGCACCACCGCGTGGCTGGCGAGGGTGGACGCCTTCCGGAAGGTCTTGCCGCACGCAGGGCACACGACGGGCCCCTGCCCGGCGTGCGTCGCCTTCGCGTGGGCCTTGAGGGACGATGGGTGCAGGAAGCCCCTACCGCACACGTCGCACCGGTGAGTCTTCTCGCCCGCGTGAGCCCTCGCGTGGGCGTTGAAGGCAGAGCGCTGCGCGAAGGCCTTGCCGCACACGGGGCACCGGTGCGGCTTCTCCCCGGTGTGGCCCATCATGTGGTACCGGAGAGACTTCGCCACCACGAACCCCTTTCCGCAAACGGCGCAGCGCAGCGGCTTGTCGTCCGCGTGGACTTTCGCGTGCCCCCTGAGGTCCGACAATTCGACGAAAGTCTCTCCGCACAGGGAGCACCTGTGTGACTTCTTCTTATTCCCCTCCTTGCCGTGGGTTTTCTGGCGATTCCTCAGCTTGCCGTGACCCCTTTCACCCTCCAGGACCACCTCAATCTCCGCCACTTGCCGTGAAGTCGGAGGGCCTCTGCACGAGATTGCTGTCTCTCCCGGCCTGTCGCTGGAAGCGGCATCCTGTAGGTCCTCCTCCTCCCCCTCCTCCTTCTCCTCCTTGATGCGAATATCCTCTCCGTCGGAATGAAGATCGGCCTCCTCATCAAATAGCTCATCCCCTGCCTTGTTAAGCTCATCTCCCGCAGTCCGCAGGGCTTCTTGAACTCGCTCGTCGCATCCATGACCTTAGCGGTAAAACGACAGCACAGCGGGTCCTCGGTTTAACGCACTCGTAGTAGTAGTGGCGGTAGTAGTGGTGGTAGTAGTAGTGGCAGTAGTAGCAGTAGGAGTAGTGGTAGTGGCGGTAGTAGTAGTGGTATTGGTGGTAATAGTGGCGGTAGTAGTGATAGTGGTCATAGTAGTGGTAGTCGTAGCGATAGTCGTGGTAGTAGTGGTGATAGTAGTGGTCATAGTAGTGGTGATAGCAGTGGTAGTAGTGGTATTAGTAGTGGTGATGGTAGTATTGGTAGTAGTGGTGTGGATGGGGATCTTTCAATGCGGACAATTTTTACGGTCGCAAACCTTCGCCAGGTCAGAGTAGATCACTCACCACCACCGTCACCACCACCACCACTGTCACCACCACCACCGTCACCACCACCGCCATCAGAGTCGGCTCTCTCAACCTTGACGGGTGGCCACGTCTCAGCACCCATCTCCTCCTCCTTCACCTCCACCTCCAACTCCTCCTTCACCTCCTCCTTCACCTCCTTCACCTCCTCCTTCACCTCCTGCTCCATCTCCTCCTTCACCTCCTCCTCCTCTCGCTTCATGAGTGGCTCCACGCGCAGAGAAGGGGACTCCACAACCTCCTCCTCCTGCTACACCTCCACCGCCACGTCTCCTGTCCCAAGAGGAACCCAGCGCGGTGAGAAACTCAAGACGCTGCCGCTCTCCGTGGGTGTGTGAGTAGCTGAGTGAGTGCGCAGCTGAGTGGGTGGGTGAGTGAGTCGGTGGGTGAGTGGGTGTCTTAAGTGTGTGAGTGGCTGGGTGGGTGTGTGAGTAGCTGAGTGAGTGGGTGGATGAGTGGCTGAGTGGCTAGTTGAGTGAGTGGGTGTCTAAGTGTGTGAGTAGCTAAGTGGGTGGGTGAGTGAGTCGGTGGGTGAGTGGGTGTCTTAAGTGTGTGAGTGGCTGGGTGGGTGTGTGAGTAGCTGAGTGAGTGGGTGGATGAGTGGCTGAGTGGCTAGTTGAGTGAGTGGGTGTCTAAGTGTGTGAGTAGCTAAGTGGGTGGGTGAGTGGCTGAGTGGGTGGCTGAATGTGTGAGTGGCTGAGTGAGTGGGTTGGTGGGTGAGTGGCTGAGTGGGTGGGTGGGTGGCTGAATGTGTGAGTGGCTGAGTGAGTGGGTAGGTGGGTGAGTGATTGAGTGGCTGAGTGTAGTCGTCAGCGCTACGAACCTGGCGCCCCGAGTTCCCGCTCACGGCCAACACCGGTGACGATCATTTGAACCGGTCCTGTCGCCTCCCCTAGGTCGACTCAGCCGTAAATTAGTACCTGGTGCGGTGCGTAAACATCGCCACTGGAGAGACAAAGGTGGCCGGGCGTGTGGGTGGGTCCACAATGGCCAACTGGGACGGTGAGGAGCAGCGCGAATCTCGAGATGAGAGTCAAAGTGAGACAGACAGAGACAGAGTGAGTCAGACGTAGCCACTCAGCCATAGCCCCCGCGTATGGCGAATGGGGTGGAGTCGAGGGCGTGAGAGGCGGTAGATGCACGGCCAAGACGAAGCACTCCATGTAGACTCCAGATGGCACGCAGCGAATGCCCCTACTTACAAACAAGTTTGGTTTGCAGGAGGTCTGTCTGTAAGTCGATGTATTCGTAAGTCCCAACTTCACTCCTGTCGATTATACTATACTAAATTATATACTACACTACATTATATACTACACCACATCATATACTACTACACTACATTATACACTACTATACTACATTATATACTACACTACATTATATACTACACTACATCATATACTACTACACTACATTATACACTACTATACTACATTATATACTGTTACACCACTGTACAGGGACTGCCTCGACTTACAAACGAGTTGGGTTTGCAGGAGGCTCTGTCTGTTCGTAAGTCCCAACTTTATTCCTGTTGACTGCAAATGTATTGTACGGCATGTACGGTACTACTATACATGATACACTACTATACTAAATTATACACTACTACATTACTATATACTACACTGTATTATAAAACTACACTACATTATATAGTACTTGCTACTGGTTCTTCACGTTCTGTAGATGTAGATACCACTGGTTCTTCACGTTCTGCAGATGTATATGCCACTGGTTCTTCACGTTCTGCAGATGCCACTAGTTCTTTACGTTCTGCAGATGAAGATGCCACTGGTTCTTCACGTTCTGTAGATGTAGATACCACTGGTTATTCAGGTTCTGCAGATGTAGATGCCACTGGTTCTTCACGTTATGCAGATGTAGATGCCACTGGTTCTTCACGTTCTGCAGATGTAGATGCCACTGCTTCTTCACGTTCTGCAGATGTAGACGCCACTGGTTCTTCACGTTATGTAGATGTAGATGCCACTGGTTCTTCACGTTCTGTAGATACAAATGCCACTGGTTCTTCACGTTCTGTAGATGTAGATGCCACTGGTTCTTCACCTTCTGCAGATGTAGATGCCACTGGTTCTTCACGTTCTGTAGATGTAGATGCCACCACCGCCATCTATTGCGAGGCGGATGAACTTACGACTCTCAATCCCAACAGGCTGCAGCTGGACAAACGGGACCTGGTTTGTTCATATGTCAGAGTCCGTAAGTCGAATGTAGAGGAGTCCCCTATATATACTTTTTCTAAGTGGCTACAATTCAAAGATTACCCCAGGGCATCCTAGGGGACTTGAGAGAAAAGGAGGTTGAGGAGGGTGGACTGCTTTATATACGGAGGCAGTTTTTAATCTATGGTGCAGTGCTGAGCCTATGGTGCAGTGCTGAGCCTATGGGCAGTGTTGAGTCTATAGTGCAGTGTTGAGTCTATGAGGCAGTGTTGAGTCTATGGTGCAGTGCCGAGCCTATGGTGCAGTGCCGAGTCTATGGTGCAGTGCCGAGTCTATGGGTAGTGCTGAGTCTGTGGTGCATTTGTAATGGGTTCTGGAGACACTTTGTAAATGCAACTTCTTTATTACATTACACCTTTCCAACAGTTCTTATACACTGTTACAGCCTAGGGACACAGCCTACTTCTAGCGTGCCTAACACTGGCTACGCTCTCGGGTCCTCCGACTATAATTACCCTAGGTGAGGCTACCTGACCCGACCCAGCCAAGATGCGGGTCTAGACTCTGGCTTACTCGGACCTCGCCCTTACAAGGGTCCCAGAGTCCCACCACTGGCCCGCACAGCGTCCCGGCCTTTCCAAGGACAAGCGGGGCGAGGGGGTCCAGGGTCCTAAGCTGGCTGGTCTTGGGTCTTCAGTGGCGATTGGTCCTAATCGGCTGGGGAGCGGCCCTTTTATCTCCCTTGCCCATCGAGGGATGGGGTTGCGTGGGTTCGCAGATCCCCTGCAGCCCCCCATTTGGTGGCGCCAAGGGGCTCAGCAGTCTGGGAACCTGAGGCCCTGGCGCCGAGGGCTTAGCTGCCTAGGATCCTGAGCCCCCAGCAGCCCCCCCCCTCTTGGGCTGGCACAGTGGCCCCTCCCCTAGGGGTCCGAGGTACCTGCAGATGGGCCCTGTCCACCACTGCCGGTAAGTGTGGCCCATCTACGGCACTACACAGTGTCTATGGTGCAGTGTTGAGTCTATGGTGCAGTGTTGAGTCTATGGGGCAGTGTTGAGTCTATGGTGCAGTGTTGAGTCTATGCTGCAGTGTTGAGTCTATGGTGCAGTGTTGAGTCTATGGTGCAGTGCTGCGCATTCGAAACGCGTCGCTCCGACGATTCATCTCGTGGGTCAGCAACGCTTTCACGCACATCCAGACGAGAAGGGAGCGTTCGCTAACCCGCCATTCGGGGCAATGCGCATTTATTTGATCGGCGAGCAACAAAAAAACCATCACGCAAACTCCGGTCATGCTCGCAGGAGCAGAATTGGCAGCGGCTTTTGGGCGGCCATCGAATGAAGACGGCAGTCGACGCATCGCGTGGCGCTTTCAGATGCGCTGCTTCTGCGGCCGTCTGGAACGCTCTTCCTTCCGATGTTAGGAAGCTACTGGAGCCAATCTATGCACTTTTGAATCATCTAGATTGACGAACTAATTTGTTTAGAACTGCTTGTTGTTGTGTTTAGGTTGTTGTCCACCCCCCCCCCCCCCCGCTTACCTCTGATTAGCACGGTCGGCTACGCACGAAGCGAAAGAAGTTCAACATACATACGAAGCAACTAAACTAATTTAAAATTGTTTTAATCGCTTGGTAAGCACTGCATGAATAGTTTAGTGCTGCAGTAAATGTCGCATGCCGGTTCTGAACCACCAGTACTTATTTCTTTAATTCTCTACATTTAACGAACAATTTAGAATTTTTGTTACTTAACAAAATACTTCCCGTTTGGTGTGTTGGGTCGACGCAGGGTAGCAACATAACAACAAAGGTAGGTCCGTGGGTGTCCGTACTACGCTGAGCGCCGAACCAAACCGCAGTGTTTCCCCCCCCCCCCCCCCCCCCATGTAACGGCCTTCCGAGTTTTCGGATGATCGCGGATTTGCCGATTACGGTTCAGATTTTCAATAAAACGTATCAACCGCACCCCCGCCGTGGTGGGCGAGGGTTCGCTGTACCGCTTCCCTTTCACCCGCACTCGGTTCAAGCAGAAAAGACCTCCACCGCCGCACCTCTGGTTCGCTACATACATTGGTGTGCGAAAGAAGTTCAACGCACACACACACAAGCGTACGTAACAATTCAACCGCAATGCAGTTGACGGTTCCTACTTCCTTGCTGATCTAAAAGTTCCGGACTCTTTGCCATTCGTGCTGCGCATTGTCCGTGGTGCGTTCTGGGTTGGGCTACCGTGTGCCCGCCCGCTCCACACCACCGCGATTTCATTTTCGCGCGCCATGTTGGAAAAAAAATTTGGAAAGCATTTACCGCTGTTAAGTGAGGGAGCAGACCTGCGTGGTGGAATTCGGCCTCTTGAAAGTGGAACTGGGGTTCCATTTAACACGTAGCAGCAGGAGGCTTTTGCGATCAATGTTATCCATGATGGAGGTTTTTGGGTTTAGATCGTGTAAATGTGTCGTTAAACCCACCAGGGGGGGGGAGGGGTTAACCCCTTACCTAATTGGCTGTGGCGGGTGGTGGTGGGTTTAACGACACATTTATATTTACACGCTCCAACACAAAAACCCCTATGATGGGATTCCATTGATGCGAGCAGGTTTCCCAGATGACTCAAAGGTATACTTGATAAATAAACACCGTAGTGGGATGAATAGGTGGTAAGAATGTGCATCGGAACACGATTAAATCTGCAGCTTCCCAATGTCAGCAACGGGCGATAGCAGCCAAGCCTCCAGTGGCCGTCAAGCCAAGGAGTTTAAAGCGATGCCTCTGAACGTTAAACGGCACGCGCTCGGCTTCAAGACTCGTAGTGATTAAGACACTTGATGTGAAAGTTGAGGTTCGAAAGGTCCGCAAAGTTCCTCCCGCACACGAAGCACTTGTACGGCTTCTGCACGTTGTGCGTCTTCGTGTGCTTGTCGCGGGCCGACGGGCTCACGAAGCCCTTCTCGCAGATCGGGCACTGGTGCGGCTTCTCGCCCGTGTGGGTCATCATGTGGATCTTCAGCGCCGAAAGGTGTACGAACTCCTTCTCACACAGGGCGCACCTGTGTGACTTCCTGTCCGAGTGGGTCATCAGGTGACTCTTGAGGGTCGAAAAATGCGTGAAGGTCTTCGCGCACAGGTCGCACTTGTGCGGCTTCTCGCCCGTGTGGGTCTTCATGTGGACGTTGAGCGTGGATATCTGCTTGAAGTCCTTCCCGCACACGGAGCACTTGTGCGGCTTCTCTCCCGTGTGGCTCATCATATGATTCTTAAGTGACTTCGACTCGATGAAGCCCTTGCCACACGCGGGGCACCGATGGGGCTTCTCACCCGTGTGGATCTTAGTGTGGCTCCTGAGGTTGGAGAGGTGCGCGAATGTCTTCCCGCACGTCGCACACTCGTGTGGCTTCTCGCCCGTGTGGATCAGAAGATGGCTCTTGAGGGTCGACGAGTCCGTGAAGGTCTTCCCGCACACCGAGCACATGTACGGCTTCTCGTCCGTGTGCTTCATCATGTGCCTCTTAAGGGCAAACGACTGGATGAATCCCTTTTCGCACAGCGAGCATCGATACGGCTTCTCCCCCGTGTGGATCATTGCGTGGCTCTTGAGGGCCGACGACTTTCGGAAACCCTTCCCACACACGGAGCACTCGAGGGGCCGTTCTCCGGTGTGCGTCATCGTGTGGCTCTTGAGGCGCGACAGGCAGGAGAATCCCTTGCCACACAGGGTGCACCGGTGGGACTTCTTCTCATCATGGGCCTTCTGGTCGATCGTCGAACACTTCCGACTCCGGCTGTCCTCCAGGACCACCTCAATCTCGGCCACGTCCGACGAAATCACCCCGTCTCTCCGTGAGCTCCGTGGCCCTCTCCGAAGCCTCCCTTTGGAACCGGTGGCCTCGAAGGCTTCCTCCTCATCGTGGTCGTCATCATCCCCCTCGTTGGAATGAAGGTCTCGCTCATCGGATTGAAGATCCTCATCCTCACTGCTAAGGTCCTCTCCTTCGGAGTCTTCTTCTTTCAAACGAATGTCGGATTCTTCTTGACCTAGGAGGCGAAACGTTAAGAGTTGACCCTCAGTGCGAAGTCATACACGGGACAACGTCAGCTCGTGATGCATATGCAGCAAAGCGGGAATGCTAAGAAATGGTAATCTTACCAGGAGACAAAGCCACTTACTATCATCAGTGTCTTCACTCTTAACTTTCACCCGTGGCCACGCCTCATTCCTCGGCTTTTCTTGACCCGCTTTCCCGTCACGTGGCTCCACCAGCAAAGAGGCTGCCATCTCATCTGCCCAAAGTGAGAGCACAGCAGAACTACTGGACATCTGTGAACACTACTGGATACTAATCTTGATTTGAAGCTTTCTTGACTGCAGGAATCCATACTCCATAGTTCTTTCGGTAAAGTCACGTAGGTAGAAAAATAATAGATCACGACGTTTCGATCGCAACACAAGCAATCCTCATCAGGTGGGACAACCACAGCAAAAAAAACTGCTGAAGTAGGCGAGAGATCTGCCGTAGCACAAGGATATCTGTGACACTGCTGGACATCCGTGAACACTATTGGACATCCGTGAACACTACTGGCTATCAGTGAACACGACGGTACATTCGTGAACACGACTGGACATCCGTGAACACTACTGGACACCACTTTTACGCCCCCTCTAAGGCCGGAAGACTTCTTCACAATTGATGGCTAATCGCCTGATGGAAGCTGCTGGCTGTTGTTGTAATCACCAACGAAACGTCACCAGCTACTCGAATGCGTAAATGTTGCTGCGGGTTTAACTCTCCAAACACGTAACAACACACCTGGTTTAGTGCTGAACTCGGTAACTAATCGGCCACGTGTTGTTTCGGTGACACAAACCCCAACCCCCCCCTCACTGATTGGCCATGTCGGGTGGTGGTGGTGATGTTGGCAGTGGTGGCGGGTTTAAGGACACAACGTTTATATCCACGCGATCTAACCTAAACAACAAAACGCCCAAACCAATATTATGGATATTGGTCGCAAAAGCCCACGACTACCACTACGACTACTACTACTACGCATTAAACTGACTCAATGCTAATGCCACCTGCTCGCCCCGCGACTTTGCAGCCTGAAGGGAAAAGTGCGGGGAAGAAATCGCTCACCGGCGGCGGCATGAACATCCTCGCGCTGAGCATTTCCTCCAAGGGACAGCGTCTCACGGCCGGGGTCCCCTCCAGCGTCTCGCCCGACGGGCGACTGCCCCTCCTCGGACGACGGAGCCTCGGACATGCCCTCGTCACTGACCGTGATGCAGAACGTGAAGAACCAGTGGCATCTACATCTGCAGAACACGAAGAAGCAGTAGGATCTACATCTGCAGAACGTGAAGAAGCAGTGGGATCTACAGCTGCAGAACGTGAAGAACCAGTGGTAAATACATCTACAGAACATGAAGAACCAGTGGCATCTACATCTTTAGAACGTGAAGAACCAGTGGCATCTACATCTGCAGAACATGAAGAACCAGTGGCATCTACATCTACAGAACATGAAGAACCAGTGGCATCTACAGAACATGAAGAACCAGTGGCATCTACATCTGTAGAACGTGAATAACCAGTGGCATCTACATCTGCATGACATGAAGAACCAGTGGTATCTACATCTACAGAACATGAAGACCAGTGGCATCTACATCTACAGAACATGAAGAACCAGTGGCATCTATAGAGCATGAAGAACCAGTGGCATCTACATCTGTAGAACGTGAAGAACCAGTGGCATCTACATCTGCAGGACATGAAGAACCAGTGATATCTACATCTACAGAGCATGAAGAACCAGTGGCATCTACATCTACAGAACGTGAAGAACCAGTAGCATCTGCAGAACGTGAAGAACCAGTGGCATCTACATCTGCAGAATGTGAAGAACCAGTGGCATCTACATCTGCAGGACATGAAGAACCAGTGATATCTACATCTACAGAGCATGAAGAACCAGTGGCATCTACATCTACAGAACGTGAAGAACCAGTAGCATCTGCAGAACGTGAAGAACCAGTGGCATCTACATCTGCAGAATGTGAAGAACCAGTGGCATCTACATTTGCAGAACATGAAGAACCAGTGGCATCTACACCTGCATAACACGAATAAGCAGTGGCATCTACATCTACAGAATGTGATGAACCAGTGGCATCTATATCTACAGAACGTGAATAACCAGTGGCATCTACGTCTGCAGAATGTGAAGAACCAGTGGCATCTATATCTACAGAACGTGAAGAACCAGTGGCATCTACATCTACAGAACGTGAAGAACCAGTGGAATCTATATCTACAGAACGTGAAGAACCAGTGTCATCTACATCTACAGAACATTAAGAACCAGTGGCATCTACATCTGCAGAATATTTTACAACTTTTAAAGCCATTTCCCGTGTTTAGTGCACGCGCAGCACAACACGTTTGTACTTACGACGAGACAGACCACCTACAACACAACTCGTTTGTAAGTAGAGGCTGTTCCTACAAGGTCATCGCTCACACACACACAGAGAAAGACCCATATACGTTGAGAGTCATTTTGCTGCAGGACTAGGAGGGAGGCATGGGAGCAGATGAATAGGAGGTGCAGCAGGAATAGAAGGAGAAGGAATAGGAGCAGGATTATGAATAGCAAGGGGGACAGGAAGAATAGGAGCGGCAAGAATAGGAGAGAAGAGGATGAGGAGGAATAGGAGGAGCAGGAGGCTAACGATGAGAAGCAGGAATAGGAGGAGGAAGAGGAGAACGCGGCTCGCACCCGAGGAGGTGGTGGAGGAGGCTCCTCGCTCTGCCCCCAGGCCGAGCGGTGGTGGTGGGGGTGAGTGTGGGGGGGTGAGTGTGGTGGGGGGGGTGAGAGTGGGGGGTGAGTGTGGGGGGGTGAGTGTGGGGGGGGGTGAGTGTGGGGGGGGGTGAGTGTGGGGGGGGGGTGAGTGTGTGGGGGGGTGAGTGTGGGGGGGGTGAGTGTGGGGGGGTGAGTGTGGGAGGGGTGAGTGTGGGGGGGTGAGTGTGTGGAAGGGGGGGTGTGGGGGGTGAGTGTGTGGGGGGGAGCAGCAGCAGAGAGGCGAGATACCGCAGGAGACGCTTCACTTCCTGAGCGGCAGTGGCCGTGGTGGTGCAGCTCTCACCGCTCCAAGCCGGTTGGAGGAAGAGGGGGCGGAGTCACGGGTGGGGAGGGGCGGTACCACAAAAGTGAGGGCGGAGCTAGAGATAAATGGCCTTTATCTAAGGATGTGAGTGGTCGAGGGCCTTAGAGTGGGCGGTGCCACTTATAGAAGGGGCGGGGCATCTGGTGAGAGGGGCGTGGTTACAGAAATGGGGGAGGGGGTTCAGGAGGTGAGGGGTCTGAGCCGGCCATGACGAAGGGTCGTTGCCCGAAACGTCTCCCCCCCCCCCCCCCCGTCAAAGTGGAGTAGTAGTGGTGGTGGTGGTGGCGGCGTTTGGAGTGCTCCGTCTTGGCTGTGCATTCACTTGCCAGTTGTAGACCCCCACCCACCCACTCAGCCACGCTCCGCGTTCGACATTTCGCGCTCCGCCTCTCTCCCGCGGTGTGATCCGGGAGATGTTCACTGCCTCGCGTGGTGTACAGGAGGTCGTGTGTAAGGTGTGTGTGTAGGTGTGTGTGTGTGTAGGTGTGTTTGAGACCAGGAAAGGCACCGGGCAGAGATGATCTCCCAAGCGAAATGCTGAGGGAGGGTGGCGTTTGTGCACAGACTGCCCTATATGACATCATAACAACAGTCCGGACCACTGGACGGGTTCCGCAGGATTGTAAGGATGCCCTGGTGGTCCCCCTCTTTAAGAAGGGAGACCGCACAGATTGTAACAACTACAGGGGCATCTCGTCAGTGTGCCGGGAAAGGTCCTGGCAAGGATTATTCAACATCGCCTTGCTAGGCACGCTGAGGAAAGGCTTGCGGAGCCCCAATGCGGTTTCAGGAAAGGGCGGTCCTGCACAGATGCCATTTTTTCTGTCCGTCTGCTACAGCAGAGGTGTAGGGAATTCCAACACGGCCTACATCTCTGCTTTATTGACCTGGTCAATGCCTATAATACCATCAGTAGGCCTGGGCTCTGGGTTGTTGTTTGTGCTTTCGGAGTCCCTGACCCTCTGCTCACGATCATTAAGGACCTTCATGATGGTGAGCGGGCCCAGGTAAAACTACGTGGCCGGGAATCCGAGCCATTCCCTGTACACCTTGGGGTGCGACAGGGATGTCCTCTGGCTCCCACATTATTTAACATCTATTTTGACCACGTAGTTAGTGAAGCCTTCAATAGCTGTACCGAGGGAATTTCCATTTGTTACAGATATAATGGGAGGCTGATCGATGCCCGGGTGTGATCAAGGGATGGCTCTCTATTGGTCTACCACGTTATGTATGCCGATGATTTGGTAATAGCTGCTCATTCAGAGGAGGAGTTGGAGACGCTGCTGCTGAGACTGGAGCGTGCCACTAAGAGGTGGGGCCTTACCATCAGCCCCACCAAAACTAAGCACCTGCCTGGGTATTTTGTACCATCGGACACTCCACCCCCACAACTCCCAATCGGTGATGGGGCAGTAGTGGAGAGAGTGGAGAGTTTCCCATACCTGGGCAGTGTGCTCATGACCGGCTCCGGTTTAACAGCAGAGGTCTCACTCCGAATCAGTCGAGCGGCAATATCTTTTCATCGGTTGCGTAACGCTGTGTGGAAGCTACCTGGTCTGTCGCTCCCCACGAAGCTTCAGGTCTTCTCGGCCACAGTCATTCCCTCCCTTCTCTACGCTTGCGAAACGTGGACCCCCCTAATGGAGCATCTTTGCCGGTTAGAAATATTTAGGCTGGCCTGCCTACGATCCATCCTGGGTTTAACCAGGCTGGATTGTGTGAGGAGCTCACAAATCCATAAAAGATCTGGAGCTGAGTGGACTTGCTGATGACTGATACCAGCAGTGTCAAGATCCGCCTCTGTGGAGGAGACTCGTGAAGGACGCTACTGTGCAGTTGGAGGCAGTCGCCGTCCAACAACAACGGAGGGCAGAGGAGCGACGCTCACAACGATCTGTGTTTTAGCCGGGCAGCTAAACACAGCAAGTTGGCACAGTAGAGGGCACAGGTGGTGCATCGGCCACTCATTTCAGTCAGTCGACCCATGGCACCTGCTGGGTCTGCCCCGTGACCTCATGCCAGCAGGCGTTCGACACTTCACGTGGCCTCAATGTACTCGTTCACTGGCACAAGCGCCATGGTGACATCACCGCCACTTAGTGGGTGAGTGGGTGGGTGGGCGAGTGGGTGAGTGTGAGCAGGTGAGTGGGTGGGTGAGTGTAACGAATTGGCATGATCTGTTTACGTGACAAACCTGACTAATTGTCTGTGTCGGGTGGTGGCAGGTTTAACGACGCAGCATTTATATTTCCGCGATCTAAGAGCCATCCATAAATGACGTCACGCGATTTTGGACGATGTTTTACCCCCCCCCCCCCCCGTCACACGGCGTCACAAAAAGTCAGACCCCCCTCAAATATGACGTCACATAGCTCTGCCCCACCCCCCCCGACAACCATATTTCCGTTTTGAAAATAAAACATGCTTCAAATCGCTTTAAACTATTGTCATTGTAGTGAGTATTTAATGAGACGCTGCACTCTGATGTTGTTGTAGAAAACATTTATTAAAAATTCTATTTAATTAAGTAAAACGTGTTGTTTATATTTATTTAAAGTTGCGCATTTTGATGTGATGTCACATTTCTCAAACCCCCCCCCAATCGTCACACATCACAAATGTCTGACTCCTCCCCCCCTCCTAGGTGCGTGACGTCATTTATGGACGGCCCCTAACCCTAAAAAACCTGTATTGTCGATATTGGTCATCAAAGCCTCCGACGTGTTAAAATGTCGCCTCACGAGTCTTTCTCGAAACACTTTCATGCACTTGGACAAGGTGGTGGACCGTAGGTTGGTGCAACGTCTCCGATAACCGTGCCTATTCCATTCAGAAGATACTTCACGAGAAATCCCGATGAGCTATAAAGCTCTTTAATCACATGTCCAGTAGAGGCCACATGGACAACCACAGCCTGCGGCGGCCCACCCAGCTCCATCGGCCCACCCGGCCCCGTCGGCTCCATCGGCTCCCTCCGTCGGCTCCCCTGGCACCCGCACAAACGGCCTCGCCAGCCCCGGGAGCGCGAGCCTCAGGCGGCCATCAGTGGAGAGCACGGAGCTCCCTCAGGGCAGCAGTGGACGGAGCACGGCTCTCCCTCGGGGCAGCAGTGGAGAGAGCGCGGCTCTCCCTCAGGGCAGCAGTGGAGAGAGCGCGGCTCTCCCTTAAGCCAGCAGTGGAGAGCACGTTAAATTATATACTATTATACTATATTATACACTACATTATACACTACTATTCTACATTCTACACTACTATACTACATAATACACTACTGCACTATATTATACACTACTGCACTATATTATACACTACTACATTACATTATACTACGACACTACGTTATACACTACTACACTACATTGTACACTACTACACTACATTATACACCACTATACTATACACTACTAGACTACATTATATACTACTATACTACAATATACACTACTATACTACATTTTATACTGTTACACTACTGTACAGGGACTGCCCCGACTTACAAACGAGTTGGGTTTGCAGGAGGCTCTGTCTGTTCGCAAGTCCCAACTTTACTCCTGTCGACTGCAAAGGTATTCTACGGCATGTACGGTACTACTATACATGATACACTACTATACAAAAATATACACTACATTACTATATACTACACTGTATTATAAACTACACTACATTATATACATGCCACTGGTTCTTCACGTTCTGTAGATGCCACCGATTCTTCACGTTCTGTAGATGAAGATGCCACTGGTTCTTCACGTTCTATAGATATAGATGTCATCTACAGAATGGGCAGTGTTGAGTCTATGAGGCAGTGTTGAGTCTATGGTGCAGTGCTGAGCCTATGGTGCAGTGTTGAGTCGATGGTGCAGTGTTGAGTCGATGGTGCAGTGTTGAGTTGATGGTGCAGTATTGAGTTAATGGCGCAGTACGCGTCACTCAGACGATTCATCTCGTGGGTCAGCAACGCTTTCACGCACATCCAGACGAGAAGGTGTTCGCCAACCCGCGATTCGGGGCAATGCGCGTTTATTTGATCAGTGAGCAAAAAAACCACGCAAACTCCAGTCATGCTCGCATGAGCAGAATCGGCAGCGGCTTTTGGGCGGCCATCGAACGAAGACGGCGGTCGACGCATCGCGTGGCGCTTTCAGATGCGCTGCTTATGCGGCCGTCTGGAACGCTCTTCCGATATTAGGAAGCCACTGGAGCCAAACTACGCACTTTTGAATCATCTAGATTGACAAACTAATTTGTTTAGAACTGCTTGTTGTTGTGTTTAGGTTGTTGCCCCCCCCCCCCCTTACCTCTGATTATCGCGGTTGGCTACGCACGGTGCAAAAGAAGTTCAACATACATACAAAGCAACTAAACTAATTTAACATTGTTTTAATGGCTTGGTGAGCACTGCATGAATAGTTTAGTACTGAACCACCAAATTCCCACTCTCGTCCATCGCATGACCGGCTTTGTTCACGTATCCGTGTCTTACGGCGCAACTGTTCCTAGCCAGTAAATGCTGCTATCCAGACTACCATCCTCAACACGGCACGAAGCGCCTCGAAACTCACCGAACACCAAACTCTCACGCTCTCGTGGGTTCAGACACGGCGCTCCCTTCCCGCTCGTGGCGCGGCTCGACAAATCTCGCGGTTTCGACCGCGAGATTCCTGCTGGACAGCGTCGTGACTGCACTGCTCGCGGTGACAACGCTGCTGCGGAACAAACATGGCGCCGTCTCTTCTCGCCCCATCTCGTCTCCCCCTGTCTCGTCTCCAGTGGTGTGTACTGTGTGCGGATACCACGTGTACAGTATTGTACACGGATACCATGTGTACAGTATTTATTTCTTTAATTCTCTACATTTAACGAACAATTTAGATTTTTGTACTTAATAAAATAATAAAACGTAGCACCCCCGCCGTGGTGGGCGAGGGTTTCCTGTACCGCTTCCCTTTCACCCGCACTCGGTTCAAGCAGAAAAGACCTCCACCGCCGCACCTCCGGTTAGCTACGTACGGTGGTGTGCGAAAGAAGTTCAACGTACACACACATACAAGCATACGTAACAATTCAACCACAATGCAGTTGACGGTTCCTCCTTCCCTGCTGATTTAAAAGTTCCTGACTCTTTGCCATTCGTGCTGCGCATTGTCCGCGGTGCATTGTGGGTTGGGCTACCGTGTGCCCGCCCGCTCCACACCACCGCGATTTTGCTTTCGCGCGCCATGTTGGAATTTTTTTTTTGGTGGGAAAGCATCTACCACTGTCAAGTGAGGGAGCAGACCTGCGTGGTAGAATTCGGCCTCTTGAAAGTGTAACTGGGATTCCATTTAACACGTAGCAGCAGGAGGCTTTCGCAATCAATGTTATCCATTATGGAGGTTTTTGGGTTTAGATCGCCTAAATGTGTCGTTAAACCCGCCACCACCCGACACAGCCAATTAGATAAGGGGTTAACCACTTCCCCCCCTACACCACCTCTAGCCTTTGCACCTGATTGGCTAACAAGTGATAACATCACATGTATCCCTCTATTTAAGAGCGAAGCAGGAGGAGGATTTTATCCGCAACTCTGTTGCTATCGCCCGATGATGCCGGTTGTTGTTGTAATTACTGGAGATACATCACGGCTACTCGAATTGTAAATGTTGCAGTGAGTTTACTCTCCAACACACAGCAACCGGTTAGTGCTGAACTAGTAACTAATTGGCGCCACGTTTTGTTTACGTTACAAACCCCTTCACTTAATTGGCTGTGTGGGGGGGTGGCGGGTTTAACGACACATTTATATTTACGCGCTATGCCCCAAAAACCTCTATAATGGGATTCCATTGATGCAAGCAGGTTTCCCAGATGACTCAAAGATATTTGATAAATAAACACCAGAGTGTGATGAATAGGTGGTAATGTGCATGGGAACACGATTACATCTGATTATTGATGAATTCAACCAAAAACGTGCTTCTGCAGCTTCCCAATGTCAGCAACGGGCGATAGCAGCCAAGCGTCCAGTGGCCGTCAAGCCAAGGAGTTTAAAGCAATGCCTCTGAACGTTAAACGGCCCACGCTCAGCTTCAAGACTCGTAGTGATTAAGACACTTGATGTGAAAGTTGAGGTTCGAAGGGTCTGCAAAGTTCCTCCCGCACACGAAGCACTTGTACGGCTTCTGCACGTTGTGCGTCTTCGTGTGCTTGTCGCGGGCCGACAGGCTCACGAAGCTCTTCTCGCAGATCGGGCACTGGTGCGGCTTCTCGCCCGTGTGGGTCATCATGTGGATCTTCAGCGCCGACAGGTGTACGAACTCCTTCTCGCACAGGGCGCACCTGTGCGACTTCCTGTCCGAGTGGGTCCTCATGTGACTCTTGAGGGTCGAAAAATGCGTGAAGGTCTTCGCGCACAGGTCGCACTTGTGTGGCTTCTCGCCCGTGTGGGTCTTCATGTGGATGTTGAGTGTGGATATCTGCTTGAAGTCCTTCCCGCATACGGAGCACTTGTGCGGCTTCTCTCCCGTGTGGCCCATCATGTGATTCTTAAGTGACTTCGACTCGATGAAGTCTTTGCCGCACGTGGGGCACTGGTGGGGCTTCACGCCCGTGTGGATCTTAGCGTGGCTCCTGAGGTTGGAGATACGCGCGAAGGTCTTCCCGCACGTCGCACACTCGTGCGGCTTCTCGCCCGTGTGGATCAGAAGGTGGCTCTTGAGCGTCGACGAGTCCGTGAAGGTCTTCCCGCACACCGAGCACATGTACGGCTTCTCGTCCGTGTGCTTCATCATGTGCCTCTTGAGGGCGAACGACTCAATGAATCCCTTTTCGCACAGCGAGCACCGATACGGCTTCTCCCCCGTGTGGATCATCGCGTGGCTCTTGAGGGCTGATGACTTTCGGAAACCCTTCCCACACACGGAGCACTCGAGGGGCCGCTCACCGGTGTGCGTCATCGTGTGGCTCTTGAGGCGCGACAAGCAGGAGAATCCCTTGCCGCACAGGGAGCACCGGTGGGACATCTTCTCGTCGCGGGCCTTCTGGTCGATCGGTGAATTCCTACGACTGCTGTCGTCCTCCAGGACCACCTCAATCTCGGCCACGTCCGACGAAATCACCCCGTCTCTCCGTGAGCTCCGTGGCCCTCTCCGAAGCCTCCCTTTGGAACCGCCGGCCTCGAAGGCTTCCTCCTCATCGTGGTCGTCATCATCCCCCTCGTTGGAATGAAGGTCTCGCTCATCGGATTTAAGATCCTCATCCTCACTACTAAGGTCCTCTCCTTCGGACTCAGAGTCTTCTTCTTTCAAACGAATGTCGGATTCTTCCTGACCTAGAAGGCGAAACGTTGAGAGTTGAGCCTCAGTGCGAAGTTACACACGGGACAACGTCGGCTCGTGATGCGTACGCAGCAGAGGGAATGCTAAGAGATGGACAAGCAAGCTAATGTTCAGATGATTTTTCAATTATTAGTATTTAGAGTATTACAACCGACAAAGGATTTAAAATCATGAAGTAGATGGGGTACAGTCGAGTCTCATCACCGTAATCTTAGCAGGAGACAAAGACACTTACTATCATCGGTGTCTTCACTCTTAACTTTCACCCGTGGCCACGTCTCATTCCTCGGCTTTTCTTGACCCGCTTTCCCGTCGCGTGGCTCCACCGGCAAAGAGGCTGCCATCTCATCTGCCCAAAATGAGAGCACAGCAGAACTACTGGACATCTGTGAACACTAATGGACATCCGTGAACACTACTGGACATCCGTGAACACTATTGGACATCCGTGAACACTATTGGACATCTGTGAACACGACGGACATCCGTAAACACTACTGGACATCTGTGAAAACTACTGGACATCCGTGAACAATATTGGACATCCGTGAAAAAGAGCTTTATAGCAAGGAGAGACTTGTAATTTATATGACTACATTACCCCACCCCCCTTCTTCTCTGGTCTTCGCACCTGATAGGCTCACCACAGTGATGATGACACCACTCTTACTCCCCCTCTAAAGCCAGAAGACTTCTTCACAATTGATGGCTAATCACCAACGAAACGTCACCAGCTACTCGAATGCGTAAATGTTGCTGCGGGTTTAACTCTCCAAACACACAACACAACCAGTTTAGTGCTGAACTAAGTAACTAATCAGCCACGTGTTGTTTCGGTGACACAACCCCCCCCCCCCCTCACTGATTGGTCATGTCGGGTGGTGGTGGTGATGGTGGGTTTAACGACACAACGTTTATATCCACACGATCTAACTGAAACAACAAAACGCCCAAACGTTTATTATGGATATTGGTCGCAAAAGCCCACGACTACCACTACGACTACTACTACTATGAGTTAAACTGACTCAATGCTAATGCCGCCTACTCGCCCCGCAACTTTGCAGCCTGAAGGGAAAAGTGCGGGGAAGAAATCGCTCACCGGCGGCGGCATGAACATCCTCGCGCTGAGCATCTCCTCCAAGGGACGGCGTCTCACGGCCGGGGTCCCCTCCAGCGTCTCGCCCGACGGGCGACTGCCCCTCCTCGGACGACGGAGCCTCGGACATGCCCTCGTCGCTGACCGTGATGCAGAACGTGAAGAACCAGTGGCATCTACATCTGCAAAACATGAAGAACCAGTAGCATCTACATCTGCAGAACGTGAAGAACCAGTGGCATCTACATTTGCAGAACATGAAGAACCAGTGGCATCTACAACTGCAGAACACGAAGAAGCATTGGCATCTACATCTGCAGAACGTGAAGAACCAGTGGCATCTACAGAACGTGAAGAACCAGTGGCATCTACGTCTGCAGAATGTGAAGAACCAGTGGCATCTACATCTACAGAACATGAAGAACCAGTGGCATCTACATCTGCAGAACGTGAAGAACCAGTGGCATCTACATCTACAGAACGTGAAGAACCAGTGGCATCTACGTCTGCAGAATGTGAAGAACCAGTGGCATCTACATCTACAGAACATTAAGAACCAGTGGCATCTACATCTACAGAACATGAAGAACCAGTAGCATCTACATCTACAGAGCATGAATAACCAGTGGCATCTACATCTACAGAACGTGAAGAACCAGTAGCATCTACATCTACAGAGCATGAACAACCAGTGGCATCTACATCTTAAAAACGTGAAGAAGCAGTGGCATCTACGTCTACATAACATGAAGAAGCAGTGGCATCTACATCTGCAGAATATTTTACAACTTTTAAAGCCATTTCCCGTGTTTAGTGCATGCGCAGCACAATACGTTTGTACTTACGACCAGACAGACCACCTGCAACACAACTCGTTTGTAAGTAGAGGCAGTTCCTACAAGGTCATTGCACATGCGCACACAGAAAAAGACCCATATACGTTGAGTCATTTGGCTGCAGGAATAGAAGGGGGGCATGGGAGCAGATGAAGAGGAAGTGCAGCAGGAATAGAAGGATAGAGGAGCAGGAATAGGAGGAAGATGACGATGAGAAGCAGCAGCAAGAGGAGGAGGACGAAGAGGAGGAAGATGAGGATGAGGGAGGAATAGGGAGAAGAGGAAGAAGAGGAGGAGGCTTTTCGCACCCGCAGAGGAGGAAGAGGAGGCTCCTCGCTCTGCCCCCACGCCGAGCGGTGGTGGGGTGAGTGTGGGGGAGGGTGAGTGTGTGGGGGGGGGGGCAGCAGCAGAGAGGCGAGATACCGCAGGAGACGCTTCACTTGTTTAGCGGCAGTGGCCGTGGTGGTGCAGATCTCACCGCTCCAAGCCGGTTGGAGGAACAGGGGGCGGAGTCACGGGTGGGGGAGGGGCGGTACCACAAAATTGAGGGATGGGCTAGAAATAAATGGCCTCCTTTATCTAAGGATGTGAGTGGGCGAGGGCCACGAATGAGGGGCGACGAATGAGAGGGGCGGACCCACGGAATGGGGGTGGGGCCACGAATAAAGTGGGCGGTGCCACTTATAGAAGGGGCGGGGCATCTGGTGAGAGGGGCGTGGTTACGGGAATAGGGGAGGGGATTCAGGAGGTGAGGGGACTGAGCTGGCCATGACGAAGGGTCGTTGCCCGAAACGTCTCCCCCCCCCCCCCCCCGTCAAAGTGGAGTAGTGGTGGTGGTGGCGGCGTTTGGAGTGCTCCGTCTTGGCTGTGCATTCACTTGCCAGTTGTAGACCCCCACCCACCCACTCAGCCACGCTCCGCGTTCGACATTTCGTGCTCCGCCTCTCTCCCGCGGTGTGATCCGGGAGATGTTCACTGCCTCGCGTGGTGTACAGGAGGTCGTGTGTAAGGTGTGTGTGTAGGTGTGTTTGAGACCAGGAAAGGCACCGGGCAGAGATGATCTCCCAAGCGAAATGCTGAGGGAGGGTGGCGTTTGTGCACAGAATGCCCTATATGACATCATAACAACAGTCCGGACCACTGAACGGGTTCCGCAGGATTTGAAGGATGCCCTGGTGGTCCCCCTCTTTAAGAAGGGAGACCGCACAGACTGTAACAACTACAGGGGCATCTCCTCAGTGTACCGGGAAAGGTCCTGGCAAGGATTATTCAACATCGCCTTGCTCGGCACGCTGAGGAGAGGCTTGCGGAGCCCCAATGCGGTTTCAGGAAAGGGTGGTCCTGTACAGATGCCATATTTTCTGTCCGTCTGCTACAGCAGAGGTGTAGGGAATTCGAACACGACCTACATCTCTGCTTTATTGACCTGGTCAAGGCCTATGATACCATCAGTAGGCCTGGGCTCTGGGTTGTTCTTCGTGCTTTCGGAGTCCCTGACCCTCTGTTCACGATCATTAAGGGCCTTCATGATGGCGAGCGGGCCCGGGTAAAACTACGTGGCCGGGAATCCGAGCCATTCTCTGTACACCTTGGGGTGCGACAGGAATGTCCTCTGGCTCCCACATTATTTAACATCTATTTTGACCACGTAGTTCGTGAAGCCTTCAATAGCTGTACCGAGGGAATTTCCATTTGTTACAGATATAATGGGAGGCTGATCGATGCCCGGGTGTGATCAAGGGATGGCTCTCTATTGGTCAACCACGTTATGTATGCCGGTGATTTGGTAATAGCTGCTCATTCAGAGGAGGAGTTGGAGATGCTGCTGCTGAGACTGGAATGTGCCACTAAGAGGTGGGGCCTGACCATCAGCCCCACCAAAACTAAGCACCTGCCTGGGTATTTTGTACCATCGGACACTCCACCCCCACAACTCCCAATCGGTGATGGGGCAGTTGTGGAGAAAGTGGAGAGTTTCCCATACCTGGGCAGTGTGCTCATGACCGGCTCCAGTTTAACAGCAGAGGTCTCACTCCGAATCAGTCGAGCGGCAATATCTTTCCATCGGTTGCGTAACGCTGTGTGGAAGCTACCTGGTCTGTCGCTCCGCACGAAGCTTCAGGTCTTCTCGGCCACAGTCATTCCCTCCCTTCTCTACGCTTGCGAAACGTGGACCCTCCTAATGGAGCATCTTCGCCGGTTAGAAATATTTAGGCTGTTTAACACGTAGGCTTTCGCGACCAATATTATTCATAATCAACGTTTTTGGGTTTAGATCGCGTTATTTATAAATGTGTTGTAACCCTCCACCACCCGACACGGCCATTAAGTAAAAAAGTATCACGTTGACAAAAGACAAATTAGTTCACTGCTTTAGCCCACCGGTGTGTTGAAGCGCGAAACCACAACATTTACAATTTGAGTACGACGTTTCGCTGGTAATTGCATCCAGCATCATCGGGCAATTCGCCAGAATGGTGAGGCTCTGCTGTGTCTGAGTTAATGATGACGTCACCCTGCTGCTGCTCTATATAAGAACGGGAGTCATTGTAGTGAGTATTTAATGTGGCGCTGCACTCTGATGTTGTAGAAAACATTTATTAAAAAGGCTATTTAATTAAGTAAAACGTGTTGTCTGTCTATATGTATTTAAAGTTGCGCATTTTGATGTGATGTCACATTTCTCAAACCCCCCCCCCCAATCGTCACACATCACAAATGTCTAACGCCAGTGTTGAGTCTAGGGTGCAGTGCTTCGTCTATGGTGCAGTGATGAGTCTATGGTGCAGTGCTGAGCCCATGGTGCAGTGTTGAGTCGATGGTGCAGTGTTGAGTTGATGGTGCAGTACGCGTCACTCAGACGATTCATCTCGTGGGTCAGCAACGCTTTCACGCACATCCAGACGAGGTGTTCGCCAACCCGCGATTCGGGGAAATGCGCGTTTATTTGATTGGTGAGTAAAAAAAACCATCACGCAAACTCCAGTCATGCTCGCAGGAGCAGAATTGGCAGCGGCTTTTGGGCGGTCATCGAACGAAGACGGCGGTCGACGCATCGCGTGGCGCTTTCAGATGCGCTGCTTATGCGGCCGTCTGGAACGCTCTTCCTTCCGATGTTAGGAAGCCACTGGAGCCAAACTACGCACTTTTGAATCATCTAGATTGACAAACTAATTTGTTTAGAACTGCTTGTTGTTGTTGTGTTTAGGTTGTTGCCCCCCCCCCCCCTTACCTCTGATTATCGCGGTTGGCTATGCTCGGTGCGAAAGAAGTTCAACATACATACAAAGCAACTAAACTACACCATTGGAACCTCATTTGCCAGAAGAAAAAATATGATAATTGTTTTTTTACCCTTTTATCTGGCAACAAGAAGTCATGTTTGCATAGACCACAATACCTGCAGTCATAATGCAAACAAAAAAACATAACTTTGATAATGTATGCACTGTCCTTGGAAGTTGATTGGTCCACACCCGAGACAGCTTTCCTTAGAGCCAGTCTCACATGGTGTTGGACAAGGCGTCACCCCACCTCTAGCCTTTGCACCTGATTGGCTAACAAGTGATAACATCACATGTATCCCTCTATTTAAGAGCGAAGCAGGAGGAGGATTTTATCCGCAACTCTGTTGCTGTCGCTCGATGATGCCGGTTGTTGTAATTACTGGAGAAACATCACGGCTACTCGAATTGTAAATGTTGCAGTGGGTTTACTCTCCAACACACAGCAACCGGTTAGTGCTGAATTAGTAACTAATTGGCACCACGTTTTGTTTACGTGACAAACCCCTTCACTTAATTGGCTGTCGGGGGGTGGCGGGTTTAACGACACATTTATATTTAGGCGCTCTGCCCCAAAAACCTCTATGATGAGATTCCATTGATGCAAGCAAGTTTCCCAGATGACTCAAAGGTATACTTGATAAATAAACACCGGAGTGGGATGAATAGGTGGTAAGAATGTGCATGGGAACACGATTAAATCTTATTATGGATGAATTCAACCAAAAACGTGCTTCTGCAGCTTCCCAATGTCAGCAACGGGCGATAGCAGCCAAGCCTCCAGTGAATGTCAAGCCAAGGAGTTTAAAGTGACGCCTCTGAACGTTAAACGGCCCACGCTCGGCTTCAAGACTCGTAGTGATTAAGACACTTGATGTGAAAGTTGAGGTTCGAAGGGTCTGCAAAGTTCCTCCCGCACACGAAGCACTTGTACGGCTTCTACACGTTGTGCGTCTTCGTGTGCTTGTCGCGGGCCGACAGGCTCACGAAGTTCTTCTCGCAGATCGGGCACTGGTGCGGCTTCTCGCCCGTGTGGGTCATCATGTGGATCTTCAGCGCCGACAGGTGTACGAACTCCTTCTCGCACAGGGCGCACCTGTGCGACTTCCTGTCCGAGTGGGTCCTCATGTGACTCTTGAGGGTCGAAAAAAGCGTGAAGGTCTTCGCGCACAGGTCGCACTTGTGTGGCTTCTCGAACGTGTGGGTCTTCATGTGGATGTTGAGTGTGGATATCTGCTTGAAGTCCTTCCCGCATATGGAGCACTTGTGCGGCTTCTCTCCCGTGTGGCCCATCATGTGATGCTTAAGTGACTTCGACTCGATGAAGTCCTTGCCGCACGTGGGGCACCGGTGGGGCTTCACGCCCGTGTGGATCTTAGCGTGGCTCCTGAGGTTGGAGATACGCGCGAAGGTCTTCCCGCACGTCGCGCACTCATGCGGCTTCTCGCCCGTGTGGATCAGAAAGTGGCTCTTGAGCGTCGACAAGTCCGTGAAGGTCTTCCCGCACACCGAGCACAAGTGCGGCTTTTCTCCCGTGTGGCCCATCATGTGATTCTTAAGTGACTTCGACTCGATGAAGTCCTTGCCGCACATGGGGCACTGGTGGGGCTTCACGCCCGTGTGGATCTTAGCGTGGCTCCTGAGGTTGGAGATACGCGCGAAGGTCTTCCCGCACGTCGCGCACTCGTGCGGCTTCTCGCCCGTGTGGATCAGAAAGTGGCTCTTGAGCGTCGACGAGTCCGTGAAGGTCTTCCCGCACACAGAGCACATGTGCGGCTTTTCTCCCGTGTGGCCCATCATGTGATTCTTAAGTGACTTCGACTCGATGAAGTCCTTGTCGCACGTGGGGCACTGGTGGGGCTTCACGCCCGTGTGGATCTTAGCGTGGCTCCTGAGGTTGGAGATACGCGCGAAGGTCTTCCCGCACGTCGCGCACTCGTGCGGCTTCTCGCCCGTGTGGATCAGAAGGTGGCTTTTGAGCGTCGACAAGTCCGTGAAGGTCTTCCCACACACCGAGCACCAGTGCGGCCTCTCGTCCGTGTGCTTCATCATGTGCCTCTTGAGGGCAAACGACTGGATGAATCCCTTTTCGCACAGCGAGCACCGATACGGCTTCTCCCCCGTGTGGATCATCGCGTGGCTCTTGAGGGCCGACGGCTTTCGGAAACCCTTCCCACACACGGAGCACTCGAGGGGCCGCTCTCCGGTGTGCGTTATTGTGTGGCTCTCGAGGCGCGACAGGCAGGAGAATCCCTTGCCGCACAGGGAGCACCGGTGGGACATCTTCTCGTCGCGGGCCTTCTGGTCGATCGGTGAATTCTTACGACTCCTGTCGTCCTCCAGGACCACCTCAATCTCGGCCACGTCCGACGAAATCACCCCGTCTCTCCGTGAGCTCCGTGGCCCTCTCCGAAGCCTCCCTTTGGAACCGCCGGCCTCGAAGGCTTCCTCCTCATCATGGTCGTCATCATCCCCCTCGTTGGAATGAAGGTCTCGCTCATCGGATTCAAGATCCTCATCCTCACTACTTAGGTCCTCTCCTTCGGACTCAGAGTCTTCTTCTTTCAAACGAATGTCGGATTCTTCCTGACCTAGGAGGCGAAACGTTGAGAGTTGAGCCTCAGTGCGAAGTCACACATGGGACAACGTTGGCTCGTGATGCGTACGACGAAGAGTTGGACAAGCAAGCTAATGTTCAGATGATTTTTAAATTATTAGTATTTAGAGTATTACAACTGACAAAGGATTTAAAATCATGAAGTAGATGGGGGACAGTCGAGTCTCATCACCGTAATCTTAGCAGGAGACAAAGACACTTACTATCATCGGTGTCTTCACTCTTAACTTTCACCCGTGGCCACGTCTCATTCCTCGGCTTTTCTTGACCCGCTTTCCCGTCGCGTGGCTCCACCGGCAAAGAGGCTGCCATCTCATCTGCCCAAAATGAGAGCACAGCAGAACTACTGGACATCTGTGAACACTACTGGACATCCGTGAACACTAATGGACATCCGTGAACACTATTGGACATCCGTGAACACTATTGGACATCTGTGAACACTACTGGACATCCGTGAACACTATTGGACATCTGTGAACACTACTGGACATCCGTGAACACTATTGGACATCCGTGAACACTATTGGACATCTGTGAACACTACTGGACATCCGTGAACACTATTGGACATCCGTGAACACGACGGACATCCGTAAACACTACTGGACATCTGTGAAAACTACTGGACATCCGTGAACAATATTGGACATCCGTGAAAAAGAGCTTTATAGCAAGGAGAGACTTGTAATTTATATGACTACATTACCCCCACCCCCCTTCTTCTCTGGTCTTCACACCTGATAGGCTCACCAGTGATGATGACACCACGTTTACTCCCCCTCTAAGGCCGGAAGACTTCTTCACAATTGTTGGCTAATCGCCTGATGGAGGCTGCTGGCAGCTGCTGGCTGTTTTTGTAATCACCAACGAAACGTCACCAGCTACTCGAATGCATCAATGTTGCTGCAGGTTTAACTCTCCCAACACACAACAACACAACCGGTTTAGTGCTGAACTAAGTAACTAATCGGCCACTTGTTGTTTCGGTGACACAAACCCCCCCCCCCCTCACTGATTGGCCATATCTGGTGGTGGTGGGTTTAACGACACAATGTTTATATCCACGCGATCTAACCGAAACAACAAAACTCCCAAACCTTTATTATAGATATTGGTCACGTAGGCCCACGACTACCACTACGACTACTACTACTACGCGTTAAACTGACTCAATGCTAATGCCGCCTGCTCGCCCCGCAACTTTGCAGCCTGAAGGGAAAAGTGCGGGGAAGAAATCGCTCACCGGCGGCGGCATGAACATCCTCGCGCTGCACATCTCCTCCAAGGGACAGCGTCTCACGGCCGGGGTCCCCTCCAGCGTCTCGCCCGACGGGCGACTGCCCCTCCTCGGACGACGGAGCCTCGGACATGCCCTCGTCACTGACCGTGATGCAAAATGTGAAGAACCAGTGGCATCTGCAGAACATAAAGAAGCAGTGGCATCTACATCTGCAGAACATGAAGAACCAGTGGCATCTACATCTGCAGAACGGGAAGAACCATTAGCATCTACATCTGCAGAACATGAAGAACCAGTGGCATCTACATCTGCAGAACGTGAAGCAGTGGAATCTACATCTGCAGAACGTGAAGAACCAGTGGCATCTACATCTGCTGAACGTGAAGAACCAGTCACATCGACATCTGCAGAACGTGAGGAACCAGTGGCATCTACATCTACAGAACGTGAAAAACCAGTGGCATCTACATCTGGAGAACGTGAAGAACCAGTGACATCTACATCTGCAGAACGTGAAGAACCAGTGGTATCTACATCTGCAGAACATGAAGAACCAGTGACATCTACATCTGCAGAACGTGAAGAACCAGTGGCATCTACATCTACAAAACATGGAGAACCAGTGATATCTACATCTACAGAACATGAGGAACCAGTGGCATCTACTTCTACAGAACATGAAGAACCAGTGGCATCTACATCTACAGAACGTGAACCAGTGGCATCTACATCTACAGAACGTGAACAACCAGTGGCATCTGCATCTTCAAAACATGAATAACCAGTGGCATCTACATCTTAAAAACGTTAACAAGCAGTGGCATCTACATCTGCAGAATATTTTACAACTTTTAAAGCCATTTCCCGTGTTTAGTGCATGCGCAGCACAACACGTTTGTACTTACGACCAGACAGACCACCTGCAACACAACTCGTTTGTAAGTAGAGGCTGTTCCTACAAAGTCATTGCACACGCGCACACAGAAAAAGACCCATATACGTTGAGAGTCATTTGGCTGCAGGAATAGAAGGGAGGCATGGGAGCAGATGAAGAGGAAGTGCAGCAGGAATAGAAGGATAGAGGAGCAGGAATAGGAGGAAGATGACGATGAGAAGCAGCAGCAAGAGGAGGAGGACGAAGAGGAGGAAGATGAGGATGAGGGAGGAATAGGGAGAAGAGGAAGAAGAGGAGGCTTTTCGCACCCGCAGAGGAGGTGGAGGAGGCTCCTCACTCTGCCCCCACGCCGAGCGGTGGTGGGGTGAGTGTGGGGGAGGGTGAGTGAGTGTGTGGGGGTGGTGCAGCAGCAGCAGAGAGGCTAGATACCGCAGGAGACGCTTCACTTGCTGAGCGGCAGTGGAGGCGGTTGGTGCAGCTCTCTCCGCTCCAAGCCGATTGGAGGAGTGGGTGGTGCCACTTCTAAAAGGGGAGGGGCGGGGCTACGAAATGGGGGAGGGGGTTCAGGAGGTGACGAGTCTCTGAGCCGGCCATGACGAAGGGTCGTTGCCCGAAACGTCTCCCCCCCCCCCCCCCGTCAAAGTGGAGTAGTGGTGGTGGTGGTGGAGTAGTGGTGGTGGTGGCGGCGTTTCGAGTGCTCCGTCTTGGCTGTGCATTCACTTGCCAGTTGTAGACCCCCACCCACCCACTCAGCCACGCTCCGCGTTCGACGTTTCGCGCTCCGCCTCTCTCCCGCGGTGTGATCCGGGAGATGTTCACCGCCTCGCCTGGTGTACAGGAGGTCGTGTGTAAGGTGTGTGTGTGTAGTGTGTGTAGGTGTGTGTAAGTGTGTGTGTGTAGGTGTGTATTTAAGGTGTGTGTGTAAATGTGTGTGTGTAGGTGTGTGTTTAAGGTGTGTGTAAGTGTGTATGTGTAGGTGTGTGTGCCGGTGTGTGTAGGTGTAGGTGTGTGTATGTAGGTTTGTGTGTGGCCTCAAGGTGCACATGGCCTGGCACAAGCGTCGTGGTGACGTCACCGCCACTTAGTGGCGAATGGCGGTTGTTTGTGTGTAGGTGTGTGTAGGTGTGTGTAGGTGAGTGTATGTAGGTGTGTGCAGGTGTGTGTGTGTGTAGGTGTGTGTAGGTGTGTGTGTGTACGTGCTGCTCACTCAGAGGAGGAGTTGGAGGCGCAGCTGCTGAAACTGGAGCGTGCCACTAAGAGGTGGGGCCTTACCTTCAGCCCCACCAAAACTAAGCACCTGCCTGGGTATTTTGTACCATCGGACACTCCACCCCCACAACTCCCAATCGGTGATGGGGCAGTTGTGGAGAAAGTGGAGAGTTTCCCATACCTGGGCAGTGTGCTCATAACCGGCTCCGGTTCAACAACAGAGGTCTCACTCCGAATCAGTCAGGCGGCAATATCTTTTCATCGGTTGTGTAACACTGTGTGGAAGCTACCTGGTCTGTCGCTCCGCACGAAGCTTCGGGTCTTCTCGGCCATGGTCATTCCCTCGCTTCTCTACGCTTGCGAAACGTGGACCCCCCTAATGGAACATCTTCGCCGGTTAGAAACATTTAGGCTGGCCTGCCTACGATCCATCCTGGATTTAACCAGGCTGGATTGTGTGAGGAGCTCACAAATCCTTGAAAGATCTGGACAAAGTCCCATCGGTGAGCTCCTCTGGCAGGCAAGGCTGCGCTGGCTGGGTCATGTAGCCCGCATGCCCAGCCACCGCATTCCTAAACAGCTTTTGTTTGGCCGGATAGAGAGGGCTAAACGGGCTCGGCACTGGCTAGAGAAGAGATATAGTGATGTGGTCCAGGAGGATGTGGAGCTGAGTGGACTTGCCGTTGACTGGTACCAGCGATGTCAAGATCGGCCTCTGTGGAGAAGGCTCGTGAAGGACGCTGCTACTGGGCAAGTTGGAGGCAGTCGCCTTGCAGCAACAACGGAGGGCGGAGGAGCGACGCTCACAACAACGAGCGGAGCGCCGGGTGGCTAAAGCACAGCAAGTTGGTACAGTAGGGGGAACAGGTGGTGTATCAGCCAGTCGTCTCCGTCGACCAGTGGTACCTGGGTCTGCCCCGTGACCTCCCAACGGGCGTTCGGCACTTCACGTGGCCTCAACGTGCACATAGTCTGGCGCAAGCGTCGTGGTGACATCACCGCCACTTAGTGGTGAATTGGCGGTTGTTGTGTGTGTGTCGGTGTGTGTATCAGTGTGTGTAGGTGTACACGTTCCGCGTTATAACGAGGGCTTACCAGAGGTGGTATTAAGGGGGATAAGTTATAAGATTCTTGGGATTAATAGGACAAGATAGCAATGATCTTAGCATTTGTGTCAGCGACCAGATCAGTGCATCACTCTTGACCACGAGTCTCCTGTCATTCTCAGACCGCACCTCCGATTAGCACCGTTGGCTACGTACGGTGCAAAATAAGTTCAGCATACATACTACATACTACACTTCTATACACTATACACTACACTATACACTACTATACACTGCTATACACTACACTATACAAACGTATCATACACACCGAAGACTCCGGGCTGACCGAGCAAGGGATCTGCAGGAGGAGATCCTCTCGGCTGTGAGAGATGTCGCGTAGAGGGGACGACGGATCACGAGGACAGGCTCCTGCTGCTGCTGCTGGTGAGTAGTCCTCTAGCTGCACCTAGCCTGGCGCTAGCGGCCGTGGTGGTGGTAGTGACGGTCCCCGCTAGCGAGCGGCGCTTGTTGCTGGGCGCTGTCTCTGCGTTTGCTTCCTTCCCGCTGCAACCTCACGGAGAGAAGCAGCGGCGGTGCTTGAGTCTCTCACTGCACTGGGTTCCTCTTGGGACAGGAGATGTGGAGGAGGTGGAGGAGGTGGAGGTGTTCTCTTCTCTACCCGTGGAGCCGCTCGTGAAGCGAGAGGAGGAGGAGCCGGGTGGTGAGACGTGGCCGCCCGTGAAGGTGGAAAGAGACGACGCTGATGACGGTGAGTGACCTCCCCTGTTCACATCCTTCTGGGAGCTGAACTTTGAGCAACTATTTCATCATCTGAAAGCTATTCGGCTCTGGCAACAGAAAATAACGTTGCCCTGTTAATTTCCTCACAATCCATCATGCTGCCTGCGCATTGAAAATTTTTCTAAACGTAAAAGCTCATTTCTTTAGAACATTAGTTTGTTGTCCTTCCCCCGCACCTCCGACGAGCATGGTCGGCTCCGTACGGCGGTGCGAAAGTAGTTCAACGCGCACGCACGTAGACGCGCACGGAGAGAAACCATAGACTCGCACGGGAACCCATAGACTTACACGTGCACTTTGAAATAATCGAGATTGAAAACGAATTTACTTCGAACTGCTTGTTGTTGTGTTCAGTTTATTGCTCTTGAGCACGTTTGGCTACGTACCGTGTGAAATATGTGTGAAAGAAGTTCAACACACACGCACATACATCGCGAACAATGTTGTCTCGTGCGTACATTTGTACAGAGCTCAACTCTTAATGTTTCGTCTCCTAGGTCAAGACCCTGACATTCATTTGAAAGAAGAAGAAGACTCTCAGTCTGAAGGAGAGGACCCAAGCAGCGGAGAAGAAGACCTTCAATCTGATGAACGAGACCTTCATTCTGATGAAGACAATGGTCACGTTGAACAGACTGGTGGCTCCAGAGGGAGGCTTTGGCGAGAATCATGGATCCCGCGAAGAGATGGGGCGACTTCGTCGGACGTGGCGGAGATTGAGGTGGTCCTGGAGGATGACAGGAGCCGTAAGAATTCACCGATCGACCAGAAGGCCCGCGATGAAAAGATGTCCCACCGGTGCTCCCTGTGCGGCAAGGGATTCTCCTGCCCATCGCGCCTCAAGAGCCACACGATGACGCACACCGGAGAGCGGCCCCTCGAGTGCTCCGTGTGCGGGAAGGGTTTCCGAAAGTCATCGGCTCTCAAGAGCCACGCGATGATCCACACGGGGGAGAAGCCGCACAAGTGTCCGTTGTGCGAGCACAGCTTCATCCAGTCTTCCGCCCTCAAGAGGCACATGATGAAGCACACGGACGAGAGGCCGCACTGGTGCTCTGAGTGCGGCAAGGCCTTCACCGACTCGTCGACGCTCAAGAGCCACCTCCTGATCCACACGGGCGAGAAGCCGCACGAGTGCCCGACGTGCGGCAAGGCCTTCGCGCACCTCTCCAACCTCAGGAGCCACGTCAAGATCCACACAGACGAGAAGCCGCACCGCTGCCCCTTGTGCGAAAAGGGCTTCGCGGAGGCGAAGTCGCTTAAGAATCACATGATGAGCCACACGGGAGAGAAGCCGTACAGGTGTCTGTTGTGCCAGATGGGCTTCGTGCAGCCGTCTGCTCTCAAGAGGCACATGATGAAGCACACGGACGAGAAGCCGCACAAGTGCTCCGTGTGCGGCAAGGCCTTCACGGACTCGTCGACGCTCAAGAGCCACCTCCTGATCCACACGGGCGAGAAGCCGCACGAGTGCGCGACGTGCGGGAAGACCTTCGCGCACCTCTCCAACCTCAGGAGCCACACGAAGATCCACACGGGCGAGAAGCCCCACCGGTGCCCAGTGTGCGACAAGCGTTTCATTGAGGCGAAGTCGCTTAAGAATCACGCGAAGACCCACACGGGCGAGAAGCACAAGTGCGATTCGTGCGAGAAGACCTTCACGCATTTGTCGACGCTGAAGAGTCACAAGATGTCCCACTCGGATGAGAAGCCGCACAAGTGCGCGTTGTGCGAGAAGGAGTTCGTACACTTGTCAGCGCTGAGGAACCACACGATGACTCACACGGGCGAGAAGCCGCACCAGTGCCCAATATGTGAGAAGTTCTTTGTGACTACTTCGGCTCGTGATCGCCACATGAAGACCCACAACCTGCAGAAGCCGTACAAGTGCTTCGTGTGCGGGAGAAACTTTGTAGATCCGGCGAACCTTAACTTTCACATCAAGTGTCTTAATCACTACGAGTCTTGAATCCAAGTACGAACCGTTTAACGTTCAATAGCTCCGCTTTAAATCCTTGATTTCTTGAGGTGTGACAGATGTAGAGAAGGGTAACGGACGTTGGGGGGAAGTAAAACTACTGGAGGCAATAGAGGCTCGGATAGTCTTCTTCTTTCTGATAGCATTTTTGGGAATTGCAACAGATTACAAATTGATGTCGAGATCTCCCTCGGCAGGTCAGATCCCTGGTTGGAGGATTGTGAGGATCGCTGACGATGGATTTCTGCAATAGGGTTGGTTGTTTTGCCCCAAGGCTTCCCTCCATCGTGCTTCGGTGGACTTCTTATCGTCGTGGAGGTTCTTCGCATACCTGCCAAAACGGTTTTTCTGTATTCGAGCCGCCGGTGGTGGTGGTGGCTGCACGGAGATGTCCTTGTCTATCGGAGGGCTTGGATTTCTGATGGCCTTGCGGGGTACTCTCTCGCACACACACGGCGGAGCTGCGGAGGAGCGATGTTCGCAAGGAAGCCGCAGCAGCGGCGGACGTTGCCCTCTAGCGACCCCGAGATGATCCTCATGGCCGCATTTAGCTGCCTCGTATCCACGCACGCTTCGTGTGCACGCTTTTGGTTCCGGGCCGGGGCGCAATATTCCGCCTGCAGAGAAGACCAGCGCTGCGGTGGCCCATTCAGAGCGTCGTTGCGTTTGCTCCCCACGTTGTTCCGGCCAGCTTATGCACATGAGATATCGCTGGTTTAGTTTTTTTTTACGGCAGTATCCTGCAGGTGTTTTTTGCGGAACGGTGAGGCACCTGTCGAGAGTTACGCCACCCGAGGTATTCCGTGGTGTTTCTCACACTGGGTCTCCTCGCCACAGAAAGCGACGGTCGGTTTCTGGTCGGCGTTTGCACTGTTCCGGCAGAGTTAAGTTACAGGCAGTTTTCCTTGGGTTTGAATGGAGCCTCTGGTACTTGAAGTACATTTCGAGTTTCTTGAGGTCTTCGCACACACACACGTGTGGGTCGTTTTGGACCTAAGTTTGGGTCCGTCTTTGGTCGGCAAGTGCCAGGTCAACGGCGTAGCCAAATTTCAGGCCAATGGTGACAGGGAGGTCACGTATATACATGTTAAAAAGTGTCGGAACAAGTATTGATCCCTTTGGGATCCTGTTATTGAATCAGCGGGCTCTGCTGACCGTGTTCCCTAGGTGGACTCGGTATCGCCGGTTGGATAGTAGCGATGGTAGGAGTCGGAGCCTGGATGGTGGCGGTAATGCAGGAAACTAGACGATTTTATTTACCAGGTAAAGCCGACTGAGCCCTTTGCTCTTTATCAGAAGCGACCTGCCACACGTGATTGGTCATCACAGCGGCTTACATCGTCGTTTCTTCGCCTGTTCAAATTCCTCACCCTGGTCTACAAATCCCTTCGTGGTCATGCCCCACCATATCTTATCTTTCTACGTGTCGCCTTCTCGCCCTCTACGTTCTCAAACTTTGCCGTCTCTCTGCGTTCCTCCTCCTTGTGCTCAATCCATGCTTTCGCTGTCTCTTCTCGCCCACTGCACCCTTCACATTAAGTGGTCACCTTCGCTCACTAAGTTTCCGCTCCTCGCTCGAAACTCACTTCTTGTTCCCCAGCTCACCCCATGATCCCTCATCGCCACCACCACCGTTGCTGTTCCCTCTTCATTAAATATGGCCATCACTCGTTAACCCCATTCAGTTAATCTATTCACCATCATTAACTTTGAGAATAATACTCTTTGGTTCTTTCAGGGGAAAATGTCAAAACTGGGTGGTTTTTAACTTTTGCCGACAAAACTGGATCCCAAATGTCAAAACTGGGTGGTCTTGGAAAACTACAGGCAAAACAGGGTGGTGCTTTTTGATATGACAAAACTGGGTGATGTTCAATGTGGACAAATGTCAAAACTGGGTGAAGAAGGTGTACGATTTAATGTATCATTTTGTACACGTTTAGGTCCTTGCGTTATTCATCCATATGTCGCCACAAATTTAGAGCGTTCCAAATGATGTTTCTCGTGGCTCATGTTCCATACCTTGCACCACAAACTTCCCGTTTGCATACTGGCACAGTGTGCCAGCTCGCTTACTTGCCGTTTGTATACTGGCACAGTGTGCCAGCTCGCTACTACAGTAACACTTACTTGCCATATGTATACTGGCACAGTGTGCCAGCTTGCAACTACAGTAACACTTTCAGCTCGCGAACATACACGAACTTGCCATTTGTATACTGGTACAGTGTGCCAGCTTGCATGCTACACCTACTACAGTAGAACAACGGTAGATAGTGTTTGCGTCGAGAAGTATGGTGCTGCACACTTAGAACAAAACATGTTTGTTACATATATATAACTACTTCGACGGGCAAGAGCGCTTGTTGTGGCCCTTGGCGTGACAGAAGGAGCACCGCGTGAGGCCCAATGGGCCACCTTCGCCACGGTTGCGAATCCGACGCTTCTTCGGGCGGCCAGCCTTCTTCTGGCGAGGAGGTGGCATCATGGTGTTGTCGCGTTGCAGCTCCTCGGCAATGGGCAGCTCGATACCGGCAACCGAGGTCCATGTCGTGTTGATGGCAGAGACTTGGTAACACACCGCACATGCGTCGTAGAGCTCGGGCATCCGCCCAAACGCCATGAGGGCACGAATGTAGTGCCGACACGGCAAGCCCATCTGCTTCATGTACCCGCACGTGCACGACCGAGAGCTGAGATCGACTCGGCGCTTGGCAGAGGCGTAGGCGTCTGGATCCTTGACGTATGCACGCGTCGAGGTACTCTCGTAGACCTTGTACCTCGGGGCCAACGCCTGCTGAGCGTCGATGAGTCCTTGAGCGTACGGCGTAATGACACGCCCTTGAGCGGCCCACTTCTCGGCGTCGCTGCGGTGGGCAAAGGCCGTCGTCATCATGTCTTCCATGTGGTGCATGAGGAAGTGGAAGGGGTCCATCTCGCGAGCCGGCAGGGCCTCGCTGTACGTGGACTCCACAAAGTTCGTCGTGCGCCAGCCGTACAATGGCGTCGTGTGCAGGTGCGGGTAGAGCGCCCACGTGTGGGGGTCGATCTTATTGTAGTACGTGGCCGCCGCAGGCAGAGCTACGCCCAAGCAGCCCAAGGAGCTGCGGAACGCGGCCTCGGAGGCGCACCCTTGGGCATCGTAGATGATGCCTTGGAGGTCGGGCGTGAACGCAGAGCCGATGTTGTCCACGCCGTTGCAGATCAAATGCCGCGTGCAGTGGATGAGCATGAGGTCCTTCCAGTCGGAGGCTAGGATGCCCGTGCCACGATCGCAGAAGACCGGCGTGCCGTCGAGCTCGATGTCGTTGGTCGTGCAGCAGTTGAGAAACCAGTCGTAGGCCGCTGCCGTCTCGGACGGCACCAGCGCCACGGCGAGAAGGACGTTGCGGTTGTTGCCGTCGCGCCCAACGAGGACGAGCATGGTTCCGTTGTAGGCGCGCGCCTTCATGTGCGACCCGTCGATGCCGACGACGCGTTGAAGACTTGGCTGCAACGAGCGTGCGATCGGGTTGCAGATGAACGCACCCCAGAAGATGCCCGCGTCTTCTCGCACACTGCAGGTCGTCGCGTTGAGCTTGCCGAACGTCTCCACCAGCGAGTTGATGAACTCGAAGCCTGCATGGGCCGCACTCTCGTTCGCCGCGATGCACGTGTCCTTGGCGCGGTACATCATCCGGGTCGGGACAATGACGCGAGCAACGTCGGCGACCTGGGCAATGACAGTCGGTGCGGAGGTACGGGGGTTGGCGTGAAAGGCCGAACGGGCTGTCGTGTTCGCCTCCACTTGGCGCTGCGTGATCTTGGTAGTGCCCGTGCAGCCGTGGTGATCCGTGCACAGCGCCGAGACGCAGAAGCCGCGTCGTTCCCCCGTGAGCTTCGTCAGCTTCACCTTGAAGGAACAAGGTGTTGAACTAGAGCAGACGATGGCAACGTGCCGTCCGCCGCTTCGCTTGAGGTCAAGGACCGCGCGCTTGCCTTGTTGCAAAGCAAAGTCTTGGATGCCGTGGATGGCCTCGCGGCGCGTGGTAAAAGTCTTCTTGGGGTGGAGGGTTGCCATTCGAATGTGAGCCGCTCCTCCACCTGTTTCGTGAAAAATGCTTGTGAAAAATCACGTTTCTACGTCTACTTTCAATTTTTCACGAGACAATATGTCTATTTTCATTGCCAGCAATTTGATTTTTCACACAATATTTCCGCCAATCACCGTAACGGTGGGCCAAAGGATTGACCAATCAACGAGATGCGCATTCGTTGGTTTGTTCCGCACCATTGGGACCATGGTCAGGAGCGTCAAGCAGGCTGGTCCATCTCCCAAGGACGTCGCCTTTGTCTCTGTGCTTGGTCGTTTGGCGGGCTATGGTCGAATGCATGGCAAATTTAAGGGTGTACAGTAGCGCGTAGCATCAACCAACAATCCAAAAGTTTGGTATTGACGCGAGTCACTAGTCTAGGTCATCACGCAAGGTGGCAGTGCGCCCGCCTGGTCGCAAGCCCGCCCCGAGCTCACTTCCGAGTCCGAGCCGTAGCTTGAAATGTTGGTCGTTGGGGTGCTGGCACACTGTGCCAGCGTACAAATATCAAGTGTGTGTGGTTATATGGTGCTGGCACACTGTGCCAGCATACTAATACCAAGTGTTTAGATGAATGGGGTGCTGGCACAGTGTGCCAGTATACAAATACCAAGTGTTTGGATGAATGGGGTGCTGGCACACTGTGCTAGTATACAATTATCAAGTGTATTTGACAAATGTCAAAACTGGGTGCACCCTGAGTGTCCAAAACTCAAGTTTTTGGCCACCCAGGGTGCACCCAGTTTTGACATTTGGGATCCAGTTTTGTCGGCAAAAGTTAAAAACCACCCAGTTTTGACATTTTCCCGTTCTTTCAGTAATGTCACGTAGTTAGAAATAAATTAAAACAAATCACGTTGTTTCGATTGCAACACAAGCAATCATCATCAGGTGGGAAAACCACAGCAAGAAAGAATTGCTGAAGTGGGAGTGAGAGCTGCCGTGGCAAGAGGTTATATAGGTAAGAAAGGGGGGAGGGGCAAGGGGGGAGAGAGAGGGGGGGGGGGTAGGGGGGGGAGAGGGCGACCTCTCCCACCTGATGATGATTGCTTATGTTGCAATCGAAACGTCGTGATTTGTTGTATTTTATTTCTAACTACGTGACTTTACCAAAAGAACCAAATAGTATGGATTCCTGCAGTCATGAAAGCTTCAAATCAAGATTGAGAATAATAATGAATTCTAAATATATGGCTCTTACTCATTAACACCATTCATTCAATCCATTCACCATCATTTACTTTGAGAATAATAATTAATTATTCAAATGATATGGCTCTCACTCATTAACACCATTCATTCAATCCATTCATCATCATTTACTTTGAGAATAATTAATTATTCTCATTATATGGCTCCCACTCATTAACACCATTCATTCAATCCATTCATCATTTCCTGTCATCCATTTGGCTTTCACCAAATTCAGACATCGCAGATTCCCCCCCCCCCCCCCCCCCCCCCCATTGATTCTTGCCTTCTCTTTTATTCACCTAGTCTCCACCGTTACATTTGTTAATTATCTGTAACGTGCCTTGGTCAAGGCGCTATATGAATTCCGTCAAGATAAGGTCAGATGGCAGCAGCCAAACAATCTAAACGCGTGATGTTGTTCCTAAATATGGAGGGGGGAAAAGCGGAGAGACCCGGAGAACAATCCACTCGACCACCCCGGGCAGAGATAGAGAAAACGACGACTATACAGCAGCAGGTGTCATCAGGGTCCGGGATCGAACCCACGACTTCCTGCGTAGCGGACGAGCGAGATAACGTCTCGCGTGAAGGAGAGCTTTTGTGTTTTTTTTAAGTAAGTCGAATTCGTTGGCTGTCTGATTGTCTGCAAGGTGATCTTTCTAAACTATTGAAATTTTCACTTTTTTGTTTTACTAGCTGCTTTGTAACCATTTTTCAGAAGCGACCTGGCTAGGGGCCGTCCATAAATGACGTCACGCGATTTTGGACGATTTCTGACCCCCCCCCCGTCACACGGCGTCACAAAAAGTCAGACCCCCCCTCAAATATGATGTCACAAAGATCTGCCCCCCCCCAAAAAAAAAACATGCTTCAAATCGCTTTAAACTATTGTCATTGTAGTACGTATTTAATGTGGCGCTACACTCTGATGTTGTAGGAGAAAACATTTATTAAAAAGTCTATTTAATTAAGTAGAACGTGTTGTCTATATTTATTTAAAGTTGCGCATTTTGATGTGACGTCACATTCTCAACCCCCCCCCCCCCCCTCGTCACACATCGTCACAAATGTCTGACCCCCCCCCCCCCTAGGTGCGTGACGTCATTATGGACGGTCCCCTATCACAAATGATAGCAGCTCAACCAAGTGACTGATGTCATCGTCACGTGGACATGTTAGCCACAGCAAAATACTCAGGGTGGGGTGGGGTGGGGCGAACGGCCTCGATGAGTGATGAACAACCCAGACGAGCCGGTGGGCCACAAGAGAGGCCCTCCCTCACCTCAGTGGGCCGCGAGTTTGACGTCGCGCACTCGTCATGACCCCACGCGTCACCCTGGACCAGGGGGTCTACAACCTTAACATGTAACGACGAGAGGCATTCGTTATGAATTCGCTAAACAAAAGAAAGCCCAACGTTTCAAGAGCCGCAATACAATGTGCGAGACGATGGGGACCCCAAATAAATAGCGTGTCACGGAGCGGCCGGTCTAGACGCACCTCGAATCGGCCACCACGCGGAGCTCCACGGGACCGCAGGTTGCCCACACCTGGTCTAGACTCGCTTAGACCAGGCCACCACGCGGAGCTCCACGGGACCGCAGGTTGCCCATACCTGGTCTAGAGACACTTAGACCAGGCCACCACACGGAGCTCCACGAGACAGCAGGTTGCCCACGTCTGGTCTAGACTTGCTTAGACCAGGCCACCACGCGGAGCTCCACAGGACAGCAGGTTGCCCACCCCTGGTCTAGAGACACTTGGACCAGGCAACGTATGCTGCGAAAGAAGTTAAACATACATACACTATACACTACTATACACTACACTATACACTACACTGCACTATACACTACATTATACACTACAGCGCACTTCCGACTAGCACGGTTGGTTATTTACGGTGTGAAAGAAATTCAACACACATACGTACTACGGCATACACTACATACTACACGACACACTGCGCTGTACACTACACTACACGCTACACTATACGCTACACACTACACTGCGATACACGTAACCGCAGCACGGTTTGCTCCGTACGGTGCGAAAGCAGCTCAACGTAGATGTGTAGCGCTGTAAATGGGCTGCGGGCACTTACCTGCAATAGCAGACAGGGCCCATCAGGGGCAGTACCTCGCACCGGCAGAGGGGTCGCTACGTTCCCCAACCCCAAAGCAGGAGGGGGCTACGGGGTTTCCTGGTATCCCCCGAGACCCCACCCCTGGAACTTTCTGGAAGGAAGGCGTAGCCAGGGGCTGACACGCCTGGGAGCTGTATAAAAGCTGGACCTCTGGGCGGGTCCGGTGCCAGTTGAAGACTGAAGCCCAGCTAGCCAGGACCCTGGGACTCGCCTGACCCGCCGTCCTTGTAAGGGCCGGGTCTGAGTGGGCCAGTGGTCTCGCCTAGGTCACCCCTAGCCAGAGGACCCAGAGACCTTGGCCCCAGTAGTGGGGCACGTCAGTCCGGAGGCGGTAGCTCCTTAGGCAGCGGGTGAAGGGGCCGGAACCCCTTCAAGTGTTAAGGGTTCGCTACGCGCTGTATCGTAGCTGTGTGTTAATAAACGTGTTGCCCCCAACGTTCGTCTCCACCGTCGTGAAACCCATCACTACAGATGCAACTGCAAGGCATCGCCACGTCTGCACGAAGGGCTCGTGCTGCAGCGTCTTTTGAAACTGGTTGGCCTGCACCAGAGCTGGTTTGCGACCGTGGCCTGGCGTGGTGGGGAGCTTTTGATATTCTCGAGTGTGGGTGGGTGGGTGTGGATGTTGGCTGGGTCATTTATCCAGCATGCCCAACCACCGCATGCCTAAACAGCTTTTGGTCGGCCAGAAAGAGGGGGCTAAACGGACGCGGCATGGGTGGAGTGATGGGTGAGTGAGTGTATGTGTGAGTGGGTGGGTGAGTGGTTAAGTAAGTGAGTGGGTGAGTGGGTGGGTGAGTGAGTGGGTGGGTGAGTGAGTGGGTGTGTGGGTGAGTGAGTGGGCGAGTGAGTGGGCGAGTGTGTGAGTGATTGGGTGAGTGACACGGGATAGAGAAGAGATGGAGTGATGTAGTACAGGAGGATGTGGAGCTGAGTGGACTTGCCGATGACTCGAAGAATACCACACGTCCATACGACGTACAGCTCATTGAATATGGGCAAAACAAAACACGTTCGTCTATTTGTTTGGGCTGTGATAAGGTAGGGCACTGACAGAGACCCATAGAGATAGGGACCCATAGAGGTAGACAGATACCCATAGACATACATAGAACCCTATAGATATACATAGAGACCCATATAGATAGAGATACATAGAGACCCATAGAGATACATAGAGCCCTATAGATATACATAGTCCCATAAACACCCACAGAGATACATAGAGTCCCATAGAGATAGACAGAGACCAATAGAGTCCCATAGAGATACATAGAGACCCACAGAGATACATAGAGACCCATATAGATAGAGATACATAGAGACCCATAGAGATACATAGAGTCCCATAAAGACCCACAGATATACACAGAGACCCACAGGGATAGTAACAACAACAGCGTGCAGTGTGTCAGTGCTTCGGCTTGGCTCGCATCCATCGTTCCGTGTTGAGTCGTGGTTGTTGTAACATCCACCCTCGTTACCCACCACCCCTCCCACCCCCCCACGTTGACCCCCCGCCCCGCCCCGCCCCCCAGGGCGCGCTCCGTCCGTCTCCCGCGGGGAGGTCCCCGCTCCGTGCGGGGGGAAGCCGCCAGCTGCTCCTTGGCCCCCCCCCCCCCCCCCCGGAGCCAGGTTCGCGACCCTCCCGAGCCTCCTCCTCATCCTCTTGCTCCTCCTCCTCTTGCTCCTCCTTCTCATCTTCCTCCTCTTGCTCCTCCTCATCCTCTTCATCCTCCTCTTAATCATCCTCTTGCTCCTTCTCTTCCTCCTTCTCCTCATCCTCTTGATCCTCCTCATCCTCTTCATCCTCCTCATCCTCTTGCTCCTCCTTCTCTTCCTCCACTTCTTCCTCCTCCTCATCCTCTTCATCATCCTCATACTCTTGCTCCTCCTCCACTTCTTCCTCCTCTTGCTCATCTTCTTAATCATCCTTTTAATCCTCCTCTTGCTCCTCCTCATCCTCTTCATCCTCCTCTTAATCATCCTCTTGCTCCTTCTCTTCCTCCTTCTCATCCTCTTGCTCCTCCTCATCCTGTTCATCCCCCTCTTGCTCCTCCTCCACTTCTTCCTCCTCTTGCTCCTCATCCTCTTCTTAATCATCCTCCCGTTCCTCCTCCTCCCCCCGATCCCCTTCCCATTCCTCTTCCCCATCCTCCTCAAGATCCAACCACTTCCTCCTCTTCCCGATCCTCGTCCCAATTGGCCATTGTGAATCCACGCCCCTCAAAGTGGATCCGAGAGGAGCTCCCCGGGTCTCTGCTGTGGCCAGGAGATGTTAACTACCTCGCCGGGTACACAGGAGGTCGTGGGTTCGATCCCGACCCCGACAATGTCCACTGCTGTATATTTGTGTGGAGCTAGGAGATGTTGACGACCTCGCCGGGTGTACAGGAGGTCGTGGGTTCGATCCAGATCCTGACGATGCCTGCTGCTGTATATTTGTGTGGAGCTAGGAGATGTTGACTACCTCGCCGGGTATACAGGAGGTCGTGGGTTCGATCCCGACCCCGACGATGCCTGCTACTGTATATTTGGAGTCTGTGTGTCTTTCTTCCCGTGGTGAGATGTTAACCACCTCGCCTGGTCTGCAGGAGGCCGTGGGTTCAATCCCGATTTTTCTCCATCGCACGAGCACGTCTGACTCTCCGAGTGTCGTGTGCCCAGGGTTCGAGCGAGCGAGCACGCGGGCGAGGCTCCTCCGACCCCGAGACTCCGGCCTCACGGAGCGAGGAAGGCGGCAGGAGGAGATCCTTCCGGCCGTGAGATGTCGCGTCGTAGAGGGGCCGACGAGCCACGCCGAGACGCTGCCACTACTGCTACCGGTAAGTAGTCCTCTAGGTGCACCTAGCCTGGCGCTAGCGGCCGTGGTGGTGGTTACGTACCCGGCTTGCTGCCACATATTTGGAGTCTGCGTCTCTCTTCTCTCTCTGTCCCCGTGGTCGCGTGGATTTGTCTCCGGGTCTTCTTCCGGTTTTGCCCCTCCGCATTTTAGAATCAACATCACACAGAGACACAGCCTCATTACATAGAGACCCGTAGCCTCATTACATAGAGACCCATAGCCTTATTATTCGGAGGTGCGGTGTAGTGTATAGTATAGTATGTAGGGTATAGTACTGTAGTATATAACACATTCCTGCGGAGGGAGCTGGTAGGAACGTTGGGTTGCTCGGTCAATGGCCAGGGTCAACGGCGGCGTGGTGTATTCCTCAAATATGGCCGACTGTTAGCGTGGGCACAAGCCGGCTTGAGTAGGTTAAACGTTGAGTTTTATAAGGGCACCACGGGATGACCAGCACCTCCCCACCCAGCCCCACCCCTCCCACCCCCCCACCCAGCCCCACCCTCCCCACCCAGCCCCTCCCCACCCTCCCCTCCCCACCCAGCCCCTCCCCAACCTCCCCTCTCCACCCAGCCCCACCCCTCCCATGCACGACGGACAGACACAATAATCCCCTGTGGGCTGGTGTAACCAGGAGGTTCCTACCAGTATTAGTGTAGTGTATAGTAGTGTATAGTATAGTAGTGTCGTGTATAGTGTAGTGTAGAGTCGTGTAGTGTACAATTAGTGTATAGTGTAGTGTATAGTATAGTGTAGTTTGTAGTGTAATATGTAGTGTACAGCGTATAATGTAGTGTATAGTGTGCCAACCGCGCTAATCAGTGCGTGGTTGGCACCCTACACTTTACACTATGTGCTGCACTACACGCCCTGATCATTTCAATCTCAACCACAATCGTCCATCTTATTTGCGACTGTGTAAGGGGGGGGTGATCCGCGTTGTTCGTTCGCGATCCAATCGCATGATGGGCGGCATCAGCCGGAGTCTCCTCGCTCTGTTGCCGTTGCACAATGGGACAGGCCGGGCGGGGCCCTCGCCTCCGGAGCCGTGTGCTGAGCAAACGGACGAAGCGGGGTCTGGGCACGAGGGGTGGCGGCCGGTGAAAACGGAGAGGGAAGAAGACGCCCCCTGCGACCACGGTGACGACGGCGGTGAGTCAGGATGCCTCTCCGCGTGAAAGGTGGGAAGTTGAATTACTGTCGGTAGGCGGCGTCTGGAAAAGGAGGCAACGACGGACGTGTCGGTGGTCCGTGACTTGGCGGAGAAGGCAGATCTGGCTGTCGCCTGATGAAGCTGGTTGTGATTACTGGTGAAATGTTGTACTCAGATTGTAAATGTTGTTGCTTGGCTCTCCAACGCACCGGTGTGCTGTACTAATACACTACACCATACACTACACTACTATACACTACACTACTATACACTACACTATACACTACTATACACTACACTATACACTACACTACTATACACTACACACTCGTGCTGTACTCGTGACGAATTGGCACGTTCTGTTTACGTGACAACTTTTACAAGTTGGCTGTGTCGGGTGGTGGTGGGTTTTAACGACACATTTATATATTTACGCGGTCTAACCCAAGCCTACCTGTTAAACAGACAGAACTGTCTATAGCCTATACAAAACACTAGAAACTGGATGAAAATTAAGATTAGGTGTTTTTTTTACACTTTTTGGCTGTGGTTGCATGGTTTTGTCTCCAGGTCGTCTGGTTTTCCCCTCCAACATTTAGAATGAACGTCACGCATTTAGAGCATTTGGCCGCTGCTATAAATTTCCACGTGATGATGATGATGATATCAGCCACTTCGATGAGCTGCTATCATTTGTGCCAGTCAGACGAGCTACACAGTAGCTTGGTGAGGCCTTAGTTTAAAATAGATATTGTGGAGAAGATTAGCAGTGCGGAGAGGTCATGGCAACAGATGCCTGTTCGGACCGAGAGTCGTAAGTTCGACTGCGGCACGATAGATGGCGGTGGTGGCATCTACATCTGCAGAACATGAAAAACCAGTGGCATCTGCGTAACGTGAAGAACCAGTGGCATCTACATCTGCGTAACGTGAAGAACCAGTGGCGTCTACATCTGTAGAACGTGAAAAACCAGTTGCATCTACATCTGCAGAACGTGAAGAACCAGTGGCATCTACATCTGCAGAACGTGAAGAACCAGTGGCATCTACATCTGCAGAACGTGAAGAACCAGTGGCATCTACATCTGCAGAACGTGAAGAACCAGTGGCATCTACATCTACAGAACGCGAAGAACCAGTGGCATCTACATCTGCAGAACGTGAAGAACTAGTGGCATCTACATCTGCAGAACGTGAAGAACCAGTGGCATCTACATCTGTAGAACGTGAAGAACCAGTAGCATCTACATCTGTAGAACATGAAGAACCAGTGGCATCTACATCTGTAGATCGTGAAGAACCAGTGGCATCTACATCTGTAGAACGTGAACAACCAGTGGCATCTACATCTGCAGCATCTCGCCAGACAAGTGACCGCCCCTCCTCAGACGACGGAGCCTCTGACGATCCCCTCGTCGCTGACCGTGCCGCAAGGACTCTCGCGCAGTTCTAAAGCGACACGGTCAGCGGCGGCGCTGGGGGGTTTAATGATGCAACGTTTGTACGCTCGCGCGGCTCAACGCTGAGTGACGTTTCGCGTCTCTCTCTCTCTCAGCTCGCGGAGCCGAGGTTCGGATCAAGGAGGAGGAGAACGTCGCGAGCGACGGGGGAGCCCCGGAGAGTCCGGCCACCGACGATGACGGTGGCCGTGCTGGGAAGCGCGGAGAGGCACTGCGGCTACCGTGGGGAGACCGAGCTGCTGCCATTGCTGCTGCTGCTGCGGCTCCTTCGGACGCAGCGGAGATCGAGGTTGTGGTGGAGGATGACGGCGACGGTAAGTTGGGGTGTGGTAGGGGCGTGGTAGGGGCATGGTCGGAGCTTGGTAGGAGCTTGGTAGGGGCTTGGTAGGGGCGTGGGAGCGGTGTGGTAGGGGCGTGGTTGGAGCTTGGTAGGGGTGTGTTAGGGGCATGGTCGGAGCTTGGTAGGAGCTTGGTCGGAGCTTGGTAGGGGCGTGGTAGGGGCGTGGTAGGGGCGTGGGAGCGGTGTGGTAGGGGCGATGTATGGGAAGGTGTGGATAGAATAGCGGCGGATTAAAGGCGTCATTTTTTTTCATGTTCACCATCCACCACTCAATTGTGAGTGGATCTCGTCCATTCCTCCTTTAAAATGAGTGAAGGCGGCGGCGGCGGAGCGTTCGTGACGGCAGTCGATTGGTTTGGGATTCGTGGGCGCTCGCCACGCCTGCCCAGATCTTCGGTGGCCGCCATCGGTGCATCAGGTGGCCGCACCGGCCGCGTGCCCTGGCCCCGATTCGGTCGACGGTCAACCAATCGGCTGCGTGGGAGGTTGAGGGCCGGGGGTGCGGGAGGTTCGGCCGACTACGGGAAACGTCGCCCGCAGTCCGCGCTCTCGGCTTCATTCGTATTCTGGGTCGCTTATTGCGAAACTGTTGATTGTCTCCCTCCTTCCCGTCCCCTCCCCTTCCTCCCCTCCCCTCCCTCCCCTCCCCTCCCTCCCCTCCCGCCGCCTCCCACGCGGCCCTCCCTTTTACAAAACAAGGTTACTCCGCGGGCCTGGCGTTCTCGGCGGCGGTGGCGGCGGCGGCCGCGGCGAAGAGGAAGCGCGTTGTGCTGACCATCGAGCAGAAGTTCGAGATCCTCTCGCGCATCGAAACGGGCCACACGAGGGAGAGGATCGCGGCCGACTTCGGCATCGGCAAGAGCACCGTCACGTCCATCAAGAAGGCGGAGGCGAGCCTCAAGTCGTTCGTCGAGTCCACGGAGTCCTTCACCTCCTGCAGGCAGAGGAAGATCATGCGCGGCGCCCAGGACCACCAGCTGGACAGCGCCGTCTTCACGTGGCTCGTGCAGAGGCGGAGCGAGGGCCTGCCCGTGTCTGGCCCCATCGTGAGCGACAAGGCCAAGCAGCTCAACGCCATCCTGGGCGGCGACCCCGACTTCAAGGCGTCGACCGGCTGGCTGAAGCGCTTCCAGCAGCGCCACGGCATACGGCAGCTCTGCTGCGCGCAGGGCGGGCGGCTTTCCGCCGCCGCTGCCGCCGCTGCTGCGGCCGCTGCCGCGGCGGCCGAGGCGGAGGAGGAGTGGACGCGTTGCGACGGTGGAGGCGAGCCCGGCTACCGCATCCTGGCGGACGAGGACATCGACGCCCTGGTGACGGAGACCGAAGCGTCGGGGCGTGCGGCAATGGACGAGGAGGAGGAGGGGGGCGTGGAGGGGGACTTCAATGGCGAGGAGGAGGAGGAGGAGGAGGAGGACGAGGTGGCGGAGAGCCCCGGCTGCGGCGTCTCGCACGCCGAAGCCGGCGAGTGCCTCCGGAGGGCGCTGTGCTGGCTGGAGCGGCAGCCCGAGGCTCGGCCGGTGCAGCTGGCGCTGCTGCGGTCGCTGGTCGGCATGGCCGCCGAGAAGGAGAGATCGCCGGGTGGGGGGGCGAACGGAGAAGCGTTGACCAAATAGAGAAAGAGACCTTCCATCCGTGGTTCGATCCCCCCTCACCCCCCTTGCCCCCCTCCCTCCCCTCGCCCCCCTTGCCCCCCTTGCCCCCCTCGCCTCCCACGCCCCCCGACGAAGCTCGTCACGTTCAACCAAGGCGTTATTATTTATTGACGTGCCAATGATCGATGTATTTATCGAGATCCGACCAATAAAGCTCCCCCCCCCGCCCCACCGCCCGTGCCCGGCGGCTTACAAGAACCGTTCCCTTGCGACGGAATTCGGCGGCGTCAGACTCCAACATGGAACCGATGTCTCATTATCACATCCACCACCACCTACTACTACTGGACACACCGAGAGCGGCTTCGGCCCGGGGCACTTCTTGCACCCGGAGCCTGCGAAAGACGACGACAACAACGGGGTGATGTGGATCATCGCCGTGCGGGGACCCCGTGGGGTCATCCCCCCTCCCCTCCCCCACATGGACCCCGTGGGGTCAACCCCCCCCCCCACACGGATAACCACGTGTGCTGTACACAGATAACCGCGTGTACTGTACACGCGGATAACCGTGTGTACTGTACACGGATAACCGCGTGCAGTGTACACGGATAACCGCGTGTACAGTACACAGATAACCACACGTACAGTAAACGGATAACCACACGTACAGTACACGGATAACCACGCGCACAGTACACGGATAACCACGCGTACAGTACACGGATAACCACGCGTACAGTACATGGATAACCACGTGGACTCTACACGGGAAACCACGCGTACTGTACACGGACAACCCGTGCACTGTACACGGACAGCCCCGTGTACAGTGCACGGATAACCACGTATACTGTACACGGATAACCGCGTGCACTGTACACGGATAACCACGTGTACAGTGCTCCACACGTATGCAGCGTGTAGAGCAATGCCATTTCTATTCAGAGGAAAGTTGACGACACTTTTTTCCCCCATTTAAAGACTAACGCTGCAACAACATCCCCCTCCCTCTGAATGCGGCGAGTTGCGCTTGCTGTTTTAATAGTAATCGCCATTATTATTATTAGAAGTTAAAACAACCCCGACGAAGATACACGTGGAGATTGTTTTAGTGTGTGGACATCGCTCTTTGCTGTAAACGACGTTAAATCAAAAGCTCAAATGTGGCATGCAAACCCAACCCAACTCACCCACACAACACCACAAAGTCTCTCTCCATTTGGCAGCATAAAACAACGCGCTAATGTGGACTACAACTTTCAATAAGAGCCTGGCATGATCGTGCTTATCCGCGTTACAAAATCAAACGCGCTCATGCTGGCCGCGGAGACCAACTGCCAACATAGCAACGGGCGTCACCTGGCAACGGCGTCCCTGGCAACGGCGTCACTTAGCAACGGCGTCCCAAGCAAACGGCCGTCCCTAGCAACGGCGTCCCTGACAACGGGGTCACTAAGCAACGGCGTCCCAAGCAAACGGCCGTTCCTAGCAACGGCGTCCCTCGCAACAGAGGTCCCTGGCAACGGCGTCACTTAGCAACAGCTGGGCCTGCAATCCGTGACAGGAGCCTGGCGATTGAATGAGGTAAAGAATGAAAGAGGTTTTAGTAATTGAACGAGAGAGGAATAAGATCGATCTTCTTGGTTCTTTCGGTAAAGTCACGTAGAAGGGAAGTAATAAAATAATAAAAATAAAACATAATAAAATAATAAAACATAATAAAATAATTTATTATTATGTTTTATTTTTATTTTATTACTTCCCTTCTACGTGACTTTACCGAAAGAACCAAGAAGATCAATTCCTGCAGTCACGAAAGCTTTAAATCGAAATAAGATCGATTTTGACCTCTTAAAAACTTAAAACAAATACTTGACGATTCTGGTCATGTGTGAGTCTGTGTATATAGCGACCGAGACAAAGAATCGGAATCAGAATCTTGTATTTATACTGGAGGAGGAATCCGATGAGCTATGAAGCGCTTTAATCACAGATGTTGAGTTCGGGGCACGGGGTCAGAACGTCACAACAACAACACAGAACTCACAAACACGACAGGAGTGCAAAGTGCAAGGCAGTTAAACAATCACACAGACCTACACAGACACAATCACTCAGATACACACAGACACACACAGATACAGACCAACAGACACACACAGATACACACAATCACCCAGACACACAATCACCCAGACACACACAATCACCCAGCCACACACAGACACACCCAGCCACACACAGACACACACAGATACACACAGACACACACAGACACACACAGACACACACAGATACAGACCAACAGACACACACAGATACACACAATCACCCAGACACACACAATCACCCAGACACACACAATCACCCAGCCACACACAGACACACACAGATACACACAGACACACACAATCACCCAGACACAGATACAAACACTTAACTAGGATGGGGAATGGTTTAGTGTTTGTATCTGTGTGTGTCTGGGTGATTGTCTGTGTAGGTATGTGTGTGTCTGTGCGTGTCTGGGTGAATGTGTCTGTGTAGGTCTGCGTGTGTCTGTGTGTGTCTGGGTGATTGTGTGTGTCTGGGTGATTGTGTGTGTCTAGTCCGGCAAAACAACCTCCTACCTCCTCGCGGTGCCGGACGGGCAACATTGTCGTGGGCAGTGCTGTGGGGGGAGGGCCAATGCCCATTGGCCTCTCCCCTCATGGCGTCTGTGACCGCCACAGTGGCTAAACGGGGGCTCTGGACGGGTGTGAGGGGCTGGTAACCCCTCCACCTTCAATTAACCACCACTAAACCACGAATTAAACATAAACCTGTAACAAATAAGCTTGTGCCGGAGGCCCCGGGGGGTCAGGCTTTTATGACGTCTCCTGGCCAAACCCCATTTGGCGGAGCCAGGAGATTGAATTTTCACCCTCGGGGCTCCTCCAGAAACAACAAAAAACCATTGCGGATGGCCACGTGGAATGTTCGAACGCTCACTGCGGAGGAGAGGCTGCCACTCCTCTGTCGGGAGCTGGACCGGTACCGCCTGGATCTCTGTGCCATTCAAGAGGTCCGGTGGACCGGTTCTGGCTCCTGCCACCATGAGGGGTGGACAGTCCTCTACTCGGGGCAGGAGACTGCCAAACAACAGGGTGTGGCTCTTCTTCTGAACAAAAGAATGAAGGGGGCATGGGAGCGTGGCGGTGAGGTGTGGGAAGCTGTAAGCCCCAGGATACTTTGGGCTCGCCTTCCCATCAACCAGAGGCGAGGAGTGGTGGTCGTGGTTACTTATGCCCCCACCGAAGACGAACATCCGTGGAGGGATGCAGGCAAAGCCGATGAGTCAGACGCTTTCTATGACCTCCTGTCACAGGTGCTGGCTAAAGTGGCCACTCGGGACAGAGTCATCTTGTTGGGTGACTTCAATGCCCGAGTTGGTCATGATGCTGGTACCTGGTCTGGAGTGATTGGAAGGCATGGGCCAGATCAGCTCAATAATAACGGTAGGAGGCTGCTAGATTTTTGTGCAGCCCATGGGCTTGTAATTACCAACACGCTCTTCCGGCATCGGCGCATCCACACAACATCATGGATACATGCCGGGTCCAAGCAAGAACATCTGCTGGACTACATAGTGACGGACCAGCGGATGCGAACCCATGTCCTTGACACCAGGACCTACCGTGGAGCTGATCTGTCCTCTGACCATCGACTAGTCATCTGTAAGATGCGCCTGCCTTTTTTCCACTCTGGTGGTGGGTGTACACCCAGGATCCCATTCCAACCAAAAGTGGCCTGGTCTCAGTTAGCTGATGAAAGTTGCAAGCGAGAATTTCATCATCGCTTGCAGCTGGGGTTGGCATCGTCCCCCACTCCACCTGATGTCGAGGGGAAATGGGCGAGGTTTAAGACTGTGACTCATGCAGCTGCAATGGCTGCTTTGGGTACGCGGTCCAGACCTCCCCAGAAACCCTGGCTGACAGAGGAGGTGTTCAGGTTAATTGAGAAAAAGTGTCAGGCCCACTCTCATCGCCTACAGCATCCCACGTCAGAGAATGAGGAGGTTTACCGCAGCCTTCGCTCGGAAGTTCGGAGAGCCGTAAGGCGTTGTAAGGATGGGTGGTGGTCGCGGGTTGCTGAGGAGATGGAGTCTGCCTCAGTGGCCCGTGATCACAAATCACTATTTAACTCCATCAAAAAAGTAACCTGCAGCGCCACACCTATTACCATCATTAGAGGAAAAAACGGTGATCCAATCTCCGACCCCCAGGAACAGGTTTGCAGATTTGCTGAGCATTTCTGTGAAGTCCTGGGGGAGGGAAATTCTCTCAGCCAGGAAAACATCATGGCACAAAGTGGTGATAACCCTGCTGAGGCTGCGGTGCCTCAAATATTGGAAGAGGTCACCCCCTGTGAGTGGCTGGCTGAGGTGCCAGCTGTTGAGGAAGTACTGAGGGCGATCCGGAGTCTGAGACCAGGGAAGGCATCGGGCAGAGATGATCTCCCAAGCGAAATGCTGAGGGAGGGTGGCGTTTGTGCACAGACTGCCCTATATGACATCATAACAACAGTCTGGACCACTGGACGGGTTCCGCAGGACTGGAAGGATGCCCTGGTGGTTCCCCTCTTTAAGAAGGGGGACCGTACCGACTGTAACAACTACAGGGGCATCTCACTCCTCAGTGTGCCGGGTAAGGTCCTGGCAAGGATTATTCAACATCGCCTTGCTAGGCACGCTGAGGAGAGGCTTGCGGAGCCCCAATGCGGTTTCAGGAAAGGGCGGTCCTGCACAGATGCCATATTTTCTGTCCGTCTGCTACAGCAGAGGTGTAGGGAATTCCAAAAAGACCTACATCTCTGCTTTATTGACCTGGTCAAGGCCTATGATACCATCAGTAGGACTGGGCTCTGGGTTGTTCTTCGTGCTTTCGGAGTCCCTGACCCTCTGCTCACGATCATTAAGGACCTTCATGATGGTGAGCGGGCCCGGGTAAAACTACGTGGCCGGGAGTCGGAGCCTTTCCCTGTACACCTTGGGGTGCGACAGGGATGTCCTCTGGCTCCCACATTATTTAACATCTATTTTGACCGCGTAGTTCGTGAAGCCTTCAATAGCTGTACCGGAGGAATTTCCATTTGGTACAGATATAATGGGAGGCTGATCGACGCCCGGGTGCGATCAAGGGATGGCTCCCTATTGGTCAACCACGTTATGTATGCCGATGATTTGGTAATAGCTGCTCATTCAGAAGAGGAGTTGGAGACGCTGCTGCTGAGACTGGAGCGTGCCACCAAGAGGTGGGGCCTTACCATCAGCCCCACCAAAACTAAGCACCTGCCTGGGTATTTTGTACCATCGGACACTCCACCCCCACAACTCCCAATTGGTGATGGGGCAGTTGTGGAGAGAGTGGAGAGTTTCCCATACCTGGGCAGTGTGC